CTCTAAAGCATCTTTTTCTAGAAATTTCCTACAAGTGGATCCCATAGTCTTTGAGTCTCGCTTCTTTCACTCAGCATAATGTTTCTGAGGTTCGTTTACCTTTGTGTATGCAATACTTGCTTCTTTATATAACCAAGGAGTAGTCCATTTTGTGGCTATTACCATATTTTGTTTACCCATCTGCTACTTGACGGGATTTCTAGGTCCTGGCAATATGAATCATGCTTCTAAGAATACCTGTGTACAAGACTTTCTCTAGATATGCATTTTCATTTCTCTTGGGTAAGTCCATTCTTCAGCAGTAGAATGACTCGCTCATGTGGTAAACTTATTGTTTGACTTTTCTCCCAGTACTTGAATGGAACCCTGAATCCAGCACATGCTAGTAAAGTGCTCTGAGCTACACCCATAGCCCTGTGTTTAACCTTCTTAAATTTATTTATTTGTTGTAGTAGATTGGTAACTGGTAGTCAACTGAAATACCAGCTGAACTCAATCAGTGTGGTGCTGAGCGCAGATGCCCACCTGAGGACTGTTGCCAGCGTAAAAAGGAGACCTGGAGAGGAAGAAGTATTGTGGGTTCTCCTAAGTGGTGGTGTGGTCTGGAGCTGCTGGTTCTCCTGGAGGAGTTTGTCATATTAACTCCCCTGATACGAACTCAGCAGTTATCATCAGAGGGCCTCAGGACCTCGTTGCTGAGGATAGCTTCAGTTCATTTTGGAGGAGTTTTGGTCCTTACTTTGAGCATTGCTTCCTGGTTCTGGAGGGGAAGATGTATGCTGTTTAATCTCCAGGAGAAGTGCTGGTTTCCTGATATGCAGTTAGCTATTTATCTTTGGAGGGTTAAGATCTCACTGTTGCTGAGAATGGATTTTGGTCCTTATTTTGAATGTCACTTCTAGGCTCCAGTACAGAACCCTCGGTCAACTAGCATAGATCCTTCACCCCCTGGCACAGATTTTCAAGCTTCCACCACTGATTGGGCCTTCCCAGTGCAGAGTCATGAAACAGACTTGCATGAATCATTGTCATAGACTCTAGGTCTTCAGCTGAACTTATGCAGGTTATTGCCGTGAGATCCAGTGCCTTGGCAGGATTTTCTAAGTCTTTAGTGTTATGGACAGACTTCCTGCCCTTTCTTTGTATTTGACTCCTTGGGTGATCATTATAAATAATACTATAAATTATATGTCCTGTATGTAATTGTTCTCCTTACAACCTCCAAACTACAACACTTTTTTTTGAGACCAGGTCTCATTATGTAGCCAAGGCTGGCATCAAAATCAAACCAATCCTCTAGCCTCAGCCTCCCAAGTGCTAGAATTTTTTTTTAACTTTTTTTTTTTTTTGGTCTTTTTCTTTTTTTTTTATCGGTACCAGGGATCGAACTCACGACTGCCTGCTTGCAAGGTAGGCGTTTATGCCACTGAGCTAAATCCCCAGCCCCTCAAGTGCTAGAATTACACATGTATGTTACCATGCCCAGCTGTTTAACCTTTTAAACTATGATCTGTTTTCTAAAGTGGCTGTGCATTTTTTTTATTCCCACACTTTTCATCCCTTTCCCCCTGCACACAGAAGGACATCATCCACAAGTGACAGGAGGCAAGAGGAGTTGGGGAGCCAGGACAGAGTGAACTCTAAATGGACAAGTCCATGGGCCAGGGGGTCATCCTGGACTATGATGGTTTGGAGAAACTCCACCCACCAACTCATTATGAGATGCTAGGTATGTTTTTTCAGCCTCCCCAAAACTCATTTTCCTTTGTGTTGAGGGGATATCATGTTAGGGATGCTGGGAGGATTTCAGAAATGCTGACTTAATGCTTAGTGCCCTGTAAGATCTCGGGGCTGGTGAGCTTCTGTTATCATTCCTAGCAGCACCCTCTGCCCTTCAGTCTGTTAGCCTCAGGCGCAGTCTGCTTCCAATCAAATCGGGGCACTTCAGAGCTCCAAAAGAAGACCACAGGCTGCAGAGAGAGAGGATTACTCACACTAGAGACTACACCACTGGGTAAACAAGCAACCAGACCACTTAGGAGCGAACTTGGCTTTGTCCAGACAGTTTCTTCTCTGTCCCCTTCTGTCACTCTGTGTTGCTGGCTGGCTGGCTCCAATCTCCCCCAGCAGAACCCCATGAGTCCTAAGAACCTCCAGGAGCATCCAAGGAGTCACAAATTACCCGGCCTGGGCTCAAAATTCCAATCTTCCTTCTTCAGCCTCCCAGATTACTGGGATCACAGGCATGTTAACACTGTGCCCAGTGGTTTCCTTTTTAAACAAAAGAGCTAATTCCTTCCCAGAGTTCCCCTGTAGACATTCACTTACCTCTCACCAGCAAGGACTCATCAGGGCATTCCCCTTACCCAGTGGTGCACAGAGGCAACAGATGCTTCAGCCTGTCTTAACTCTGGCCACAGATCATTCCTGACACTGAAGGAAGGACTCAAAACTAAACCAGCAGGGCCGGGGATTTAGCTCAGCAGTATGAGCGCCTGCATTGCAAATGTGTAGTAGTGAGTTCTATCCCCAGTACCAAAAAAAAAAACCTAAGCCAGCAAAGAAGGGAACTGGCTGCCCCTTCACTGAAGGAGGCTTTTCACTGATCAGAGGGAAGAAACAGAGCCCAGAAAAGCCAAGACCTTCACCCAAAGCCACATGCATCTTTGAAAACTCAGCTCTGTGGCCCAGCAAGACACCCCTTCTTCTCCACAGGGCATCTCTAAGCTCCACAGGACAGGAGCTTATCCCCAGAACTCTGCACCTGGCCACAGGCATGAGATGGACAAAGTTAACACCATGCAGATTAACAGGCCCATGGCCCAACTGCACCTCACTTACCTGTAAGTCTTCCTCCATCTTGGGGAACCAAAGCACTCCTAGCACCTGGCAAAACTTTAGCAGGACCCCAGTGCCTGACCCACAGTATCTCTGTAGCTCTCTGGACACCAGCCAAACTGCCTCATTCCCCAGAACTGACCTCATGCTTCCAAAGAGCCTCAGGATGCCTGCGGTCTGTGTGCAGCCTCAGGTTTCTGTTCTAATGCCAGCAGAAGAAACAGCCTGGGCAGGGTAAGCACCAAGCCCAAGCAGCCCTCCCCACCGACACTCTGTCCTACAGTCTTCTTCCCCACTAGGCAGGCCCTGCCTCACAAGAAACCAAGTGCCACCCCTAACTGCTGAGATGAGACCCAAGCCTACCTGTCTTCCCGACTCCCAACAATCTGAGAATCCCTCCAGGAAACACTCACACTCTATTTCAGTTTCATGCCAGACTCCTGGAAAGTGAACTTCATGGGAGGGGCTAAGAACATCTCTGAAGTCCATTCCACTGCTTAAAAGGGATGTGGAGAGCTCACAGCTAGGCTGGGGTTTATATAACTCAGAGGAAGATAGTCACCCACTCTGGCCTCTGCATAATCACTAACAGCAAAGGCTCCCAGTGAACAGGGACCCAGACTGCGACAGAAGACAAAACAGCACTTTGCTTCCACTTCCAGATTGTGCTTCCAGGTCAGACATCTATTTAATACGTGACAGCAGGCAAGGTGAACAGGTTAGAAACAGCCTCGGTGGCCAGACCCAGGACATCCCTGCTCATTCCTCTTCCTTCCCAGAGGACCCTGTGTGATGACTGTGACCCACTCATTCAGGCTGAAGATCCCACGCAAGGCTTTTGTTCTTATTCAGGCTCCGCCCACCATTTTTTTTCCTGTTTATTCAACCACAGGAGCTCAGTATCATGAAGAAAGAAAGGGGGCCTTGGTTTATTTAGTTCTCTTCCCCTGCCTAACCTGGGTGGAGCAGTCATTGCAGCTAACAGCTCTAAACTTTCCTTGCTGAAGTTGTCAGAATGGTGCTCCCACTCTTCAGAGCTTGAAAGTTTCCCTACCTTGAAAGCATGCAGGCTACAGGGCTTCATGAACAGAGTGGAATTTTCCATTTATAGAATAATAATCTTCATACCACTTTGGGGCCTGCGTTCTCGTGGTTAGGAGCTCAAGTTCAATGTCAGCAAACCTGCCAGGCTTCTGCGGGAGCCCCACAGCACTCAAGCTCTTTTATTTATTTTTGGTGGGAGAGGGGGAGGAAATAAAGGATGACTTTTTAACTTGAGTGCCAACATAAACTTGAAAAGGAACTGCACTGGCAAAAGCAGAGAATATTACTGCCTGGTCTCAGATCTTATATCAAACCACAGTGGCCTAGGAAATGAGGAAGAGCCTGAAAAACATACCTTCAAGTCCTAACCTGACAGGTGCTTGTAACAAGCATCACTTTACTGCCTTGAATCCTTACCAGCGCCTACAAGCGGGCTCTGGGCTGCCCTTCGGAGCCCAACTAGTATCTCCTCTTCCAACTTCCCCATGCTCAGCAACTGGGCTCCAAGGATGCGCATCTCACTCTGAAATCTCTTCTAGGCCATGGTGTGGTGTAAAGGCTACCCAGTCAAGAGAGATGAGGCCCAAGCTGGGAGAGCAGCACCCTGAGATGGCGCCCAGTCCCACTTCCCACGACTTTTTTGCTAATGTTAGGGAGAAGTGGGGAGGGGAAAAGAATCATCAAGGCTGAGAGGTGGCTGGACGAGCCCTGTGGCATCATCCGGTCGCCCAACCCCAGCCCCAGACTGGCAAGGAAGACAAGTCCGCTCACCTGCTCAGACCCAGAACCTTGAACTTGGGCGAAGGCGGGTCCCAGTGGCCACCCCGCCCCCTCCGACTTTCCCTCACCTCCCAGCTGTGCGCGCCGCGCTAGCCCTCCCCACACCACCCCCCGCCCGGCCCCCACCAATCAGCACGCTGAGCGGCGCCCGCGGCACTGGGACTCTGGTCTGCAGCCAGTTAGAGCAGCGGCCCGAGGCGGCGCCTCGCCCCCGCCTTGCTGGCAGAATGAGGCAGCCCGCAGCTGGGGAGGACGTGGGGCGTGGGGCGTGGGGTGCGGGGCGCGGGAGCTGGAGCAAGCGCTCTCACTGCCCGTCGGCCTCCGCCCCGCCTCCGTCCGGGGCGCGGGCGAGGTGGCCTGGGCGGGGGAGCGCAAGGGGCAGGGCCGCGGCGGCGAGGAGGGGCGCAAGGAGGAGCGTGCCCGATAAAAGGCTGCGAGGCGGCCCCACCCCGCGGCTGGCCGGCGGCAGGCTCGGCGGGTTCCTTCCGTCCTGCCCGCGCCGGCGGCAGGGAGGTGGCGCACGGCCCGCAGCCAGCCCATGGAGGCTTTTCCTTGGGCACCTAGCTCGCCCCACCGCGGCCGCGCCCCCGCGCCCATGGCACTCATGCCTAGCGCCCGCCTCGTAAACACCCCGAGCCCGGCTCACTCGCAGCCCTTCAGCTCTTGGAACGACTACCTGGGGCTCGCCACGCTCATCACCAAGGCGGTGGACGGCGAGTCGCGATTCGCTTGCGCCCGCGGCGGGGACAGCGGCAGCGGCGGTCCCCAGCCCTCCTCTTCCTTGTCGTCCTGCTGCTCCTCCGACGTGGGGACCGGACTCGGGACTCTGGGGCCGCCTGACTACGATGAGGACGACGACGACGACGACGACGACAGTGACGAGCCGGGGTCCCGGGGCCGCTACCTGAGGGACGCACTGGAGCTGCGCGCGCTGGAGCTACGCGCGGGCACCGCGGAGGCCGGAATGCTAGAAGAGCGCTTCGCCGAGCTGAGCCCGTTCGCGGGTCGCGCCGCAGCGGTACTGCTGGGCTGCGCGCCTGTCGCCGCGACCGCCGAGGCGGCGCCGCAGGAAGAACGGGCCCCAGAGTGGGCATCTGTGCCCCGGCTGCAGACGACCTCCGGAGCGGCCGCAGCCCGCCTATTGAAACCGGAGCTGCAGGTGTGCGTGTTCTGCCGGAACAACAAGGAGGCGGTGGCGCTCTACACCACCCACATTCTTAAGAGCCCCGACGGGCGAGTGCTGTGCCCCGTGCTGCGCCGCTACACGTGCCCCCTGTGCGGCGCCAGCGGCGACAACGCGCACACCATCAAGTACTGCCCTCTCTCCAAAGTGTCGCCGCCGCTCGCCACGCGTCCGCTGCCTCGCAGCGCCAGAGACGGCCTGCCCGGCAAGAAGCTGCGCTGAGCGCGTCGGCTGGCGTCTCCTTCACCGATGCCCCCAGGGTCGCCGCCAACTGGCCGGTGTTCCTCCTGCGCTGCTGGGGAAGCGAGGACCTCAAGAGCTAACTCAATTTGGGATGTCGTGGTGGTCGATCTTTCAGAAACAGCTGCCTGTGTGGAGTATTTTGCTGTTGAGACCCACGCTAAAAATCTTGATTTGTATTTAGTTTCCAGTTTGCTCATTCACAACAGCGACGCCTGGTTGTGTGTTCCAGAGAAATACGGCAAGGAGAGGCGCTATTTACTGTATACATCGATATATTTTAGATGCACATCAGTATGAACTGTCTCACTTTAATCTTCAATGTTTCATTTTACAAACGGAGGCACTTTACTAGGTCTAGAATATTTTTTTAATAGCCTCTAATCTGAATTTGGGAGATTTTACGGAATGTTGGCAAAATTACTATTTTATTGTTTGATGCAGTTAGTATTTTAGTTAGGTTAAACAAGCCCTTAGTGGCTGCGTTTGAGAAGTGTCGGTTTTAGTACACTTGCCCTTGTTTGGGTGCGTATTCCCTCCTTGTGGCTTGTTTCTGTCCTAGCTGGGCGTGTGACGGGCACAGTATGTAGCAAGTAGAACACAGCTCCTTATCTTTTTATGTACCAGATCTCTTACAACTAGCAACTAGCCTTTCCTCCTAAAAAAAACTGTGCCAAGTCATAATCGTGTATACACTTGGAAATGGTGCTGTTTAAAAATGTGTATTTATATAGTAACAGTATATGAATTTCCCCTGTAACTCCTACTTGGCATTTTCTTTACACACCAACCATCCCCTATTTTCAGTTAACAATCATTTGTGATACTAAGATCAAGAGAGGGAGGCAAGAAAGCAGTGTTAGCTCACTATGAACTACTCAATTTCAGGGTTCCTGTGTAATAAGAGAAAAGCCCGTTACAGCTGTTGCTTCTCAAAATAGAAGATAGGAGACAAATGTAATTAATAATTTGTATTCAAAAAGGTCCTACTGTGGCCTGTTTAGCTTCAAGCATGAGAGGCACACCAAGATAAACACAGAAGGAACTAAACTGTTGGGCTGGAGGGTAAGGGCACTCTTACTGAAGATAACTGCTCTGCTTCTGGAACTCCTCCAGTTACCCGTGAAATTAAAACCGGGATCCTTTAGGCGAAGGTTTCTAGCCCCCGCATTACTTTCCACCACCATTTTTAATCCACCATGCTAAATGCTAAGGCATGTGGCTGCCTACCATCAAGATAGATGGAGTTGAAAACAGAAATGAACTAAGAATTTATCCGAACTGTACAAAACACCACTATCTGCAAGTACCAGGAAGAGATTTAGTCTATCTATACAGCTTTCAGCTGGAGAATTTAACTAGGGTATTAGGAGTCAGACTGCTTCAATATTAAATAGCTAACTTCCTCCACAGTAAACTGGCTTGGTATGAAACACTCATTTGAAGGTGTAACAGATGAGATAAATGCTAGGTAGCTAGAAGCCTTTTTGGTCAAAGGTAAGATCCATCAGAACAGACAGAAATGATGGATAGGTATATTCTTAAGTAAATCCACCCATTAGTCTTACTTCCTCAGACCAGAGAACCACAGATTTGACTAGGTTACTTAGGTAGCCTAGTAACTTACTAGGGGCTGGGGATTTAGCTCAGCGGCATAAGTGCCTGCCTTGCAAGCATGTGGTCTTGAGTTCGATCCCTGGTACCGGTAAAATACAAAAAAAAAAAAAAATTTAACTTTTTAAGGGTAGGGAGGCCAGTAAAAAACACACTATCTAATTAAATTAGCTTTGTCTTGGGGCAAATTTAAGTTCCTGTTTCTTCCACTGCTCTGTTCTACCTTTTCAAAGGGGTTTCTATGAACACATCAGTGAGTGAATTCTTCAGGCCAAAAAGACTAGATAGATGGCAGGATCAATTTCAGCTATTTTGAAATGTTCTTAGAATCACAGACTGTTCCTAAGATCAGGGATTATGCCATAGGCACCTGACAAAAACTTGCTATTCTGGTATCACTATTTTACTAGAAATGGGAACCCCAAGAATGGAGTTCATCTGCAGTCCTGAAGTCAAGATTGGCGCAGAGATCCTGCATCAACCAATTGGAAACACATCCTATCACCACACCCCGTATCAAATTTGCTTCAGTTTTCCAACTTACTGAAATACTGAGCTAAAACATTAAGTTACTACTAGTTAGTTTTCCAGAGTTTTATGGGAAATTAGGCTTAACTACATTCATTTAAAAGTAATTCCTGGAATACAATGTGAAGCATTCTGCAAAATTTAATTAGTATAAAGAAATCTAAAGTTTGAAAACATAAAAGTAAAAACAAAATTATTGATGTGAACATGCAGCTATTCTGCTAAGTAACAAACCAGTAATATGAAATCCTCAAGTTGCTTTACAAGGGTGAAGACCAGGCTGCCCTCACCTGTTCACTTCTGTTCTTGTATTCCCAATGGCTGGCATGCCCCCCCCTTCCCAGTCCTTTAGAAGTTGCAGTAGTATTTGCTTTGATTAAAACAACTTTTCAATTTACTGAACCAAAACTTCTTAAAATTTCTCCATAAATATATCCAAGGAAAAAAATTTGCTAGTCTTCTCACGGTAGGAGAAAGATTTCCTCCAAGGTCCTATATATTTCAATTATAAATACACACACTGCAGTGTACAGTCAAATGCCTTTGGTAAAAGGCACCAACAGTTTTCTATCTAACATGCCACACAGAGGCTCAATTTCTGGCAGGCCTAAAGGCCTTATGATGTCTCCACCCTCAGATCGGTATTAACAGCAAAGCTCTTCTCATTTAAAAATGCCGACGGCTTAGGAACATGGGGACCATTGAGCATACTGGTGAGTAGGCTGCTTGTTCAGTCTTCTTTAAGAGTACCTAACAGGTAACTAGAGAAACAGGGTTGGGACCTAGATAGTAGAAATGAGCTGGATCACAAAGCAACAGGATCAGACTGTTTTGTCCTCTGCTTGTGCTCTAGGTTCTAACACCCAGGACCAAGAAAAGTTGAGAGAACAGAATGTCTGAGAAATGGTGCAAGCAGAAAGGTTGTGCCTGCAGACTAGCCTTAAAACCCGCTATAGGTACCTCCGCAACTTTTAAAAAGGTCTGATTACAAGAACTGTCTGATGGAACTTACCTGTGATGTCACATGTATAGTTCTGTACACTAGGAATAAATTCTACCAGGTTACTCCAAATACAATCTTTGAAGTAAAGTTTTTACTTAATAAAAGAAAAGGCCCTCTCCCCACAAAGACCTTTCCTAACTTCTACATGTGTGAAATACTAGAATTTAATAAGTGTTAAAAAGTGGTCTTATTCTTGGTAACATCAAACAAAACCTCTGACCTTATACCACCAAGGTGACACACACCTCACACTTGTACATAAGCCTAGCGGACAGCATTACAAGAAAACTAGGAATTTCATTAATAAAGAGAATGTTCAAGAGGAAACACCCTAGCTGTATTTGCTTTCTGTTGTACTTAGGTTATTTGATACTGAACACAGGTAAGTTCAATGGCATTGACAACATTTCAAATTCAACTGGATATGCAAACTTCTCTGTAATCACAAGTCAACACTAAAGTTCTGTGAGTATTTTATTTTTCAATGAAGAAAGAAAACAGCAAGTTCTGTGTTGGCTTCAATACGACCAAATAGTTATTCTTTAACATAACTATTACACTCCAAAATTGAAGTCAACACAGTCATTACTACAAATTACTTGTTGACTCTATCCTGAAAAGAAAGAAAATTAGGAAAACGAATTTAAACAATTTCTCCAAGCCACATTTATAAATATTGTCATTTAAAATGCTTGAAAGGCATGAATTCTCCATTAATGGAAAGCAGTTTCCTATTGGCAACAGAAAAAAACAACTCAGCAATAGTTTACCAATTGTTTCAAATGTAAAAGCTGTAGTTTCAGGGTTTGCACTTCAGCAGTACTGCCATTACAATAAAGACTGCAAACTGCTTTATACTCACCTCAAGTAAAATCTACAGAAAATCCCACTGACTCCAATGTTTACTGTACTTATAGTGAACCTAAAAACTTTCTAAATTTAGTTAATAGTAAATAACCTCAAAAGACCTAAAGAAGTTTATGTTTCAATTGCTAATGGTGTGAAAACTGTATCAGATCCACTGGTTTAGAGTCTTCAAACACATTTCTTTAATAAAACCTTACCTCATTCCAAATTAATATCAAATATTTCAAAATTGGAAGAAAAAAAAGCTCTGTTCTATACCAAGATACAGGTATTACTCGGTACCTGATAGGTTCACATTGTAAATTTATTTTTCTTTTTTCCTTTCTTTTTTTTTTTTTTTTTTTTTTTTTTGTAAACAAATGATTGATGAAATAATGCAACACCTTAGATTCCAGAAAATGGCATGGTTTCCCACCCCTCTATGGATAGGGTGCATGATCAATCTATTATATAGGATTAATATAAGTTCATGCTTTTTGTGTTATGGTGAAACATTAAAGAATCCAATTTAGATTGCAGCACAAGTATAATAATCCTTGAATGTGATCAAACCTATATAAGAATTTAAATCTGTTATCTTGGGACTTTTAACGTCGTACCGTGGTCCATCCATCTTCATCAGTCTCATTCTTAGTGCGACGAAGGGACTCTCGATCTTTATCAGCTCTCCATGAGGGCTTCTCTTTTTCACCTTCCCTTTCTCGGTCTCTTTCTCGGTCTCGGTCTCTTTCCCTTTCCCTTTCCCGGTCCCGGTCCCGGTCCCGGTCCCGGTCTCGCTCCCGGTCTCGGTCTCGCTCCCGGTCTCGGTCTCGCTCCCGGTCCCGGTCTCTTTCTCTTTCTCTGTCTCTTTCCCGGTCTCGATCTCGATCTCGGTCTCGGTCTCGGTCTCTTTCTCTTTCCCGGTCTCTTGACAGAGCTGGGGGAGGAACACGCCGAGGGGGATCCCGCTCTTCTGCCCGGTCATCTTTCCTGTCATCAGCACGTCTCCAAGAGCTTACTAAAAAGTTCAATTTAGTAAGTTAACAAAGTTTTAAGTTTGCACTGTCTACTGGCTGGACCTAACCACAACCCAAGCTAATCTCTGCCTTGAATTACAAGAAATCCTTTACTGAGTAACAACTAGAATGCAGAACCACAAGAAAATAAACTCCTGAATGATTGAACTAAAATAACTACTAACCAAACTAAAATAACTAAAATAAAACTCTATGCATGTAAATTATTTATACAGTTCCTGCAAACATTTGTGACAGGGCTATAATTCACTACCAGATGAATTTGACTGCCCTATCACAGCTTGTGCTACCAGTGGTACATGCATGACTATCTGAAAAAAGGACTGCTACTGTGGGCACAACAAAAACAATGCAATCAGGACATTTTGTGCACTGTCCACAAATCAGACACTTTTGCATATAATGTGAATTAATTGAATGAAAATTTTGGGTTAACAGTATTTTTATTTGGGCAGTAATTACCCAAATTCAAGCAGTAAACTAGATTATAAGCTTTTAAATTAACTTTATTAGTAAAAAGATCAACAATTAGATCTATTTATATCTATTTATATTATATCTATTATATCTACAAGCCACCCAATGGGACAGTCTAGTATGTACTATCAGTGGTTCAAACTGGTGCGAACATGTTATAGGCTTATTACCGCGTGTGGTGGCTTACAACTGTAATTCCAGCACTCGAGAGGCTGAGGCAGGAGGATTGTTGTGAGTTTGAGACCAGCCTAGGCTACAAAGTGAGCTCAAGGCCAGCCTGAACTGCATAACAAGACCCTGTCTCAAAAAGACAAAACAAACAAAAAATACGCTTACATGTAACTCAAAATCTGAAGACAAGCAGAAATCATTGGTCTAGAAATATTCTAGCAGTTATAAAATCTTTAAAACAAGGTAACAAAAATCTGGCCCAATGAAAAATTTTAAACTAAAAGATGTGGTGTCTGTCACATGCTTGTGATCCCAGCATTATTCAGAAGGCTGAAGCTAGAGGATCACCCTGAGTTTGAGGCCAGCCTGGGCTAGATAATGAGTTCAAAGTTAGACTGAACTACACATAGCCTCAAAAACAGACAAAAATAAACTAAACATGACAGCTATAAACATGCCTTTGTTTTTGTTTGTTTGTTTGTTTGAAGTACCACTGTGTAGTTCAGGCCATCCTGAATGCACTATCAAGCCCAGGATGACCTTAAACTCACAGCAGTTCTCTTGCCTCAGCCTCCTGCGTGATGGGATTACAGGCCTGCACTATGCCCAGCTCTAATATGACTTTAATAGTTTTTAAATATGGCAATAATAGCCTTATGATGCTGCTGTGCAGACAAATGGGATGAAGCTCAACAGACATTTTAAATATACTAAATTTTTTTTTTTAACTAAAGCTTCAACTCTTACAATTTTAAAGAAAGAACACTGACATTTTGTGCTTTTCTGCTAGTACCCGTTTTACTGGTTTTCTGAGACAGGCTTCTGAACTCACAGTGTAGCCCAAACTGACCCTGAACTCTGAAGCCATTCTCCTGCCTCCATCTCCAGAGTGCTAGGGATTTGAGGTACGTGCCACCACACCTAGCTAGGACCCATATTTACGGTTTTTTAGGGGGTTTTTTTGGAGACAAGATTCTGTTATATATTCCAGGCTTGCCTTGAACTTGAAGTGATCCTCCTGCCTCAGCCTCCCAAGTGTTGAGGTGACAAACGTGTGCTATCACACCCAGGAGACCTTACTTTTAAATAATAAACTGTGCCTTCATTTTCACTAAATAAAATTTATCAATTTGTTATTGTTCAATCTAGTCTATTGCTATACTTTGAATTTAGAGATGAGCTCATTTCACAGCTTGACCACAAGCTGTAAACTGAAAAAGTAACAACTGTTATTTTTGGTATTCAAATAAATTCACAAATATCTAAAGGAGTCATGTTCTCCAGCACACCAGCAGCTGAATAAAACATACCTTCATCACGTTCAGATCTGAGTGGTGGCCCTCTCCGGTCTCTGTCATCTCTTGGGTCTCGTCGATCTCTTAGATCACGCCGATCATCTCTCTCCCGACGACGGTCATCCCGATCTCTATCATCTCGGCGACTCGAATCTCTCCAGCTCGAAGATTCTTCAGCTGGTCCTCTTCTCCAGCCACCTTCATCCCTGTAGCCATTTTTAAAAACTAAGTTCTTGCTGTTGATTGACTAGATGGTAATTTTAAGTACACACATCACACCCAAGTTGCTGTTCAGAGTTTACCAATGTAATAGGAACAAAAGTTTAAACTCTGTACTTGACTTCAATTTTATACGTCAGTTGTGGAGTAAATGACATCTAGATTTGTATTATTCCACATGGTAACCACCACCCATATGGGCAGCTACCTAAATTTAACTGAAATAAAATTGAGGCAGATCCTCAGTAGCATTAAAAGCATTCCACATGCTCAAATGCCAAATGTGATTGCTGGCTACTAGTCTGGACAGTACACATACAGAACAACTAAACCCTGTAGGAAATCATTCTGGGCAGTGCTCATCTAATTTATCAATGCAAAGTCACTTGGGCAAAAAATTAACGAACTAGAACTTTTTCTGAACGTGGTCTCACTATAATATATAGTCCAGGCAGGCCTGAAACTCACTGGCCTTGAACTGATGGCAACCCTTCTGCCCAAAGGCTGGAATTACAGGCCTGTGCCACAACATCTCGCACTAACTGTAATTTTTATCACTAACAAAAGTAAAGGGCTTTTGATAACTTAAGAGCAAAAAACAACTTGATTATTCATTTAAAAAAAAAAAATCAATGATCTGTAAAGAACCCTAAAAACTGCTAAATTACCAGTTATGCAACCTACAGGCTGCCACCAGTTTAAGCCCCCGTGTTCTTATTTAAAAGGAAATATTCAATTAAATAAGCTCTAAAATGTTGTTAGTCTACGACAAACAGAGAAAAGGAGCTGAAGAGCACAATTTCTCAAAAATAGTTGAGAATATAATAGGAAAAGCATTAAGAAAATCCTAACTGCCTTAAACTCTACCAGTAGTTTACTGAGAATATCCTACCTGGGTCTCCTGAAACGATCCTCACGATCTGCATCTCTTTCTCTATCCCTTTCCCGTTCAGGGTCCTTGTCATTCTCCTCACGATCCTGACCGTCTCTGTCCCTTTCTTTATCCCTATCCCAGTCACGTTCTTCTGATGGCCTTGTTTCTCGAGGTGGACCCCAGCTCTCTTCTCTGGCTTTTTCTTTCTCTCTCCATCCACCTGAGTTTTTAAAAAGAAAACAAACCAAAAAAATTTTTTACATTCAAGTAAATTGGCAAATAAAGCCATCTTATGGTGGCATTAACTCAACACCATTTTTAAAAGACACAACTTGATTTAAAACCATGTTAAAGTCATGGATATTGCTGTATAAAATACCCATTGTTGGCAGTTTCCTGACACATGTATGGGAATGCTCGATTTTTCCAGTTGTAATCAGAGATTTTGAGTATAAAATCTGTACTAATGGTAAACAGGCTGCTCATTTATGGGGAAAACAACTTTTCCTAGAGAATTAGAGGTCTGAGGTTTTTTCTCCTGTGATACTAAGGGATGAATTCATGTCTCCTGCATATAAGCAAGCAAAACTACCACTGAGCTAGATCTTCGTCTTTTCTGTTTTTACTTGGAGACAGGGGCTTGCTAAGTTGCCTAAGCAAGACTCAAGATGCCACTGACTTTGGACTCTGGGGTACCTCATATTTATAGGTGTGTCACTGCACTCAGCTATAGCATGAATTCATTTATACCTCAAATTATTTTCAGAGCCTTCACCAAAAAGAAAAAACAAAACAAAACTTTCATATTCCTGTCATACACCAATCATCACCCTCCAGCTAGTCCTGAAACAAAGATAAAATGCTTTGATCATGCCAGAATCTCCCACAGGGAATCCAAGATTTCAATGAAAGCATACTGTGATTACAAAGTTAATGGCTGTTTATTATTGTCGTAACACTGTTACTGCCATGTGCCAAAGCACTAACCCTACCAAACAAAGTCCTCTACCAAAATTGACTCATTTAACTGTAGCCATGGCTCTGAACTAACATTCAATATTGTCAGATTCTATACTTGCTAAACTCTGTAAGCTCAAAATAGGGCACTTGCACATGAATAAAGCATAAAAGTAGCAAAACAAAGCAACAAAAATGAGTCAACTAGCATACACAATACTAGCCAAAGTTGGCAGCCCTGTTTCAGCTATTATAAACAAATGTCTGTTTAAAGAACTATTTGCTGAATTCTACATTTTGCAATTTTTTAAATATCTGCTGCTTAAAACAACTACCCAGTATTAATGCTGAAGTGCTATATAGTGTCCTCAAGCACAAGAACATTATATATCTTAGAAAGGAAACACATGTATTAGACAAACTTTGTTCAGGATTCACTTCTAACACTGCTGGCAATGCTAATTTATCAGTATTACATTTTAAGTAGGGCTATGTAATGACTGGCTAACAAAAATTTTGTAATCAAAGAACACAACTTTGTATCTCTTCTAGGATTTAACTTTACAGAACTTACCCTATTTTATGTAAGATACAGAGAAGTTAAGTTACTCCAGGTCACAGAGCTGACAGTGGAATGCTACAAGATTAGAATAAGAGAGTGGTACAAAAAGAAGCCACTAAGTAAGAAAGGAAGCTCTGAACTTAGAACGGACTCTATAAAATAATACCCACTGGGAGTAAGACAATCATCAGGCACCAGTGAAGAGACAGGACCAAGAACTCAAAGAAAGTCAGGTGTGGTGGTTGCATGCCTGCCATCCCAGCACTTGGGAGGGCAGAGGCAGGAGGATCATTCTGAGTTTGGGGCCAGCCTGGTTACACAATGAGTTCAAGGCCAGCCTGAACTGCATAGTGGACCTTATCTCAAAGGACCAAAACAAAGGAAAAAAGAAGTGGGGAGGGGGAAAGACAAAGAAGGAAATCAGGAGGAGAAGCAGAAGCAGCAGCAGCAGCAGCAGCAGAAGCTCAAAGAAATGATGATAGTGGCCAAAGCTCAAATAGGGTTAATGCATAAGTAGGTGGATTTAAGAAATCTTTTAAAAAGGCAAAAATCGGGGCTGGGGATTTAGCTCAGCAGCATAAGCGCCTGCCTTGCAAGCAGGCAGTCGTGAGTTCGATCCCTGGTACCGATAAACACGAAAAAGAAAAAAAAAGGCAAAAATCAAAGATTTCATGTAAAGAATGAAACAAAACCTAGAGTAAAAGGGAATTCTCAGAGTGGTACCCCCTAAAGAGAAAAGCAGGTGTGTGTTTTTTGGGAAGGCAATGAATACCATTTTGCAAAGGTTGAGTATAAAGTGTCAATAGGCTTGTAACTGAAGTTGAGCTGTACATACAATATGTACTTGTCATCTGCATGCAGTAATCAAAAGATGTTAACAGAAATGTGTCATAGACAGATACACAATTTATCAAAGTTAATAAACTGTAAAAACATAAGCAGACTCAGGACTAAGAAAGTAACAAAATAAAACCTTCCATGTATAATAGTATGTGGGCAGTGTATGAACAAATACTTAAATAGGGTATTTTGACTTCTAGTTATTTTTAAGAGGAGGTAGGTCCTGAAAGAACTTAATGGATGGGTGCAAAAAGACCCTCCAAAGCAGCAGTTGAAGGACAGAAGGAAAAAAAGACTATCACTAAAGACAGGAAAAGTATTTATCTTGGAGTGTGGTACTCCAGTCACTGCTGAAAGCACGTAAGGAAAAAGACCCACTTATACTAAAAGTGACCAGATAGCCCAATCTGTCAGTATTCATTAAAATTTCATTCCCTACATGTGAACACATCAAATCGATTCCATAAAGCATCTGAACTAAATACAAGAATTTTACCTGGCTTAACATATGGTCTCCATGGACCAGGTCGGGAAATCCGATCATCATCCATATTTCTCCAAGACCCCCTGTCATCATCTGTACCTCGCCTGGAGATCCTATCATCATCAACATTCCTCCAAGGTCCTCGGTCATCATCCAACCCTCGCCTGGGACCCCGGTCATCATCCAGGCCCCGTCTAGGACCCCGGTCATCATCAGCATTCCGCCAGGATGATCGTTCATCATCAGCACCTCCCCTCCTCAGCACCCGGTCCTCATCCATCCCACGTCTTGGTCCTCTGTCCTCATCAGCTGTTCGCCAGCTTCCTCTGTCATCATCCAGTCCTCGTCTAAGTGGTCTGTCGTCATCTGCGTGACGCCAGCTTCCCCTATCGTCATCGCCAATTCTCCTGGGAGGCCTGTCGTCATCACCAATTCGCCTGGCAGGCCTGTCGTCATCGCCAATTCGCCTGGGAGGCCTGTCATCATCTGCGTTACGCCAAGAAGGTCGGTCATCATCTGTTCCACGACGAGAAAAGCGATCTTCATCAGGACCACGTCTGGGTCCTCTATCATCATCCATGCCGCGCCTGGGTACCCGATCATCATCTGGTCTATGAGAATGCTCTCTCTCATCATCATCTCCCAAGCGCCGTGGGCGATCTTCATCTCTTCTATGAAGCCTCTCATCATCTCGTCCTTCTCCACGTCTCCACTCCCTACAGAGGAACAAGCAACACATTTTTAAAGTTTTTTTCAAAAAGCCAATTGATATATTGATATATTTGGGGAAACTGTTTGACTCTTAACAAAAAAAAAAAAAAATCACCAGTCTAATAAATTCATTAATCCTGATTCTTAAAAGAATCTTTACTAAGTTAAATAAAAGACCTGGTATCCTACACAAACACATAAACCAAAACAGCAATAGCCTAAAAGCTGGCTATTGCCATTCGTGCTTCCCCAAAAACATGCTGGCAGCTGCTAAATCTTTTACAACAATCTGCCTAAACCCAGTTTCTGAATGGACATTAAAGCTTACATTCTTGCCTACAACAGTCCTTATTTTAAAGGATGGTTCAATGTACTTACAAATCTAGAGGAAAAATGTTATGGAACTGTTCATTCTTACCACCTAAACTGTTAGATCAGGCAACAAAAAAGAGGGGGAAAGTAGTTACTTTTCAAGATATTTATGTCAGTCATCATGATAATGTTTAAATATATTATAAATGTCCAGTAACAGTTAAAAGACAAGTATGTAATTATTCATGGCTCTCCTTTCTTCATCACTACAAAATCAATCAGATTTTGTTAAAAACCACAAGATGTATGACTAGGAGAATATATATTTTCACAGCTTCACTTACTTCTCGGGTGGGCCTCTCCTCCACTCAGAGTCAGCTTCAGGTCCCTTTCTCCACGTGCCTTCTGAGTCTCTATCTCCCCAACGAGAGTCCTGCAATAGCAAACAGGGCAAGAGGCACCACAGTGACAATGGTTTATTATTAGCACTAGAATCACCAAATATTTTCAAACTTAACTTCCAAATGTTTAAATGCAAGCATATATTTTAAAAATATCCTTTCTAAATCTGAAATCAGACCGACAGCACAGCAAAACTATTATTCTCATACACTGTGGACAGCTTTATAAACAAGATGAAACACCTAATCAAAGCATAAAAAAGTAGACTAAATGCAATGTCTAATGGAATAGTTATATTAACTAGTATTTTCTCAAAGCATTGGGCTGCGATTAAAAAATTCAGGAAGAGCCAATGTGGTAGCACACATCTATAACCTCACCACCCAAGACAGTGAGGCTGGCATGACTGTAGTGTACCCTACATAAGCAAAACCCTGTATCAAAAAGCCAAGGAAAAAAAACTGGAAATAACAAATATACTCAGCATCCCTAATAGTTAAAGTGCAAATGTGGTCTCACTTCTTATGGATGAATGTAAACACTGCTCAGAAACACCTTCTGATGCAATTATACTGTTCCAATAAAGGCAATCAAAGGTTACAATCAGGCAAGTAGAACTTTCTGGTTGATATTTTAAAACAAGACTTGGCAGTACAGTGGACAGATTAAAATAAAAACCTACAAGCTAGGAGTGATCCTCAATCACAAGTACATTTCCTGAGTAAGAGACCCTTAAGTACCCTGACAATGAAACCCTCTAAAAATCACAGATGAGAAGCTGAGGGACACAAACAGGGCCAGGTAAAAAGTCTGTCCCTTGCCATCACATCCAGCTCTGGACTGTATCTTAAGATGAAGGGTATCCTAAGAAATTTTCTAAAGTAGCCACAGAGAGAAAATACCAACATACAGTCAATGTAACTGTCACTGCTATGGGGAAACGTCCATATCCAGAAGACCATGTTACTACCACCCTCACATCCACCTGTCAGTAGGACTTAACAAAGAAGTCAGTGATTAGAGGATATAATAAAAATGTCAGAACCTCACACAAGGTTTTTAAGGATGCTACAGTAGCTGTAAAGAATTAACATTACCAAGTTTTTTGTTTGTTTGTTTGTTTTGTTTTTTGTCTTTTTCCTTTTTATCGGTACCAGGGATCGAACTCACGACTGCCTGCCTGCAAGGCAGGTGCTTATGCCGCCGAGCTAAATCTCCAGCCCCCAACATTACCAAGTTTTTTAAGGCCAAGAGATCAGAATGTGGTTTACTGGTAAAATATAAACTGAACCAGATTCAGGCAACCTGGCACCCCCTCCCACAAAAAAAAAAAAAATGACAAGAGTAAAACATTAAAAGATATAATGAATAGGGCTGGGGATTTAGCTCAGCAGCATAAGCGCCTGCCTTGCAAGCAGGCAGTTGTGAGTTCGATCCCTGGTACCGATAAAAAAGAAAAAGACAAAAAAAGAAAAAGAAAAAAGATATAATGAAGACGATTTAGAGCAAAACCAGAAAAAGGAGAAACATTTCCTTAAAGAAATTTTCTTTTGGTACTGGGGATGGAACTCACGACCTAGTGCTTTTCACACAGGTGCTTATAGCAAGCTAAAACCCTGGCCCCTTCCTGAAAGAAATTTTGTCTTCTCTAAAGAAACTAAATTCAAAGGATGAAAATGAAAAAATAAAAGGGGGGAGGGGGGAATATTGTACAGAATAAGCCTAAACATAGTCTTAGGTGAAATTACTAAATTTCTTTCATGGTAAAGATAAAGAAAATTCCAGGGGAGGCTGAGGCCGGAGGATTACTGAGAGTTGAAGGGCAGCTTGAACTGCATAGCGAGACCATGTCTCAAAAAGACCAAAAAAAAACACATGAAACTAGAAACCTAGAAGTTTCCACAGACTAAAACAATCTACAGAAGTAACAAGACCACTAACAAAACCTTAGTCTCTATGATATTGTATACAAAAAGAAACAAAGTAAAGATCTTCATGTTTCTAAGATGATTTTAAACTAGCCAAACAAAACCATGGTTCAACTATGAGAAAGAAATCCTTTTGAGGCACACATGGAAAAAAAAAAAACTGGATATAACTGAGATATAGACAACAGAAACATCTGCAAAGAGAAAAACATGACATAGTACAAACATATTTGGGCCTAAATGTTTGCTAAAATGACTATAAAACATAAAGCAAGCACCAAAGAGCTCCATGTAGAATCATATAATGATCTTGATACAAAAACTTCCAGCTTGTTGCAGTAAGACATCTATAAAGCCATGAAGATACCACATTTTGAAAAAACATCAACCACGTCAATGATGTAGAGAACACGTGGCAGGGGGGTGACTGTGGAGACTAACAAGGGGACCAGGAAACAATAGAAAAATCTGCAATAAGGCAAAAATGTAAAGTCCTGTGATATGTAGGTAACAAATCATGAATTAGGACACAAAATTCAAGAGCTGTAACAGAATATACCGTTCTCATGCATATTAGAAGTAAATTCTCTACCATCTAGGAGTAGAGTTAACCTGCAGGTGGAGTCAGAAGCTTTAGTGGGCTGGGAATCTGCCAACACACGTCTAGGGGTGCTTACGTGGCTAGCTCACGAAACAGAACCAGTGTCAACCTCTTAAGTAGTAGTAAAGCAATTATTTCTACACTCACCTTCCTAGAAAGTGAATCATCGCCAAGTCTTCTCTCTTCCTCTCTACGACGCTCTCGTTCTTCAATTTCCAACTCCCTTTGGCGTTTTTTCCTTTCCACTTCTTCTAGTTTCTTGACCCGCTCCTGATATTCTCGAAGCTCTTCCTCACGTTTTGCTCGTTCAGCACGTTCTCTCTCTTCTCGCTCTGTAAAATATATTTGGTTACTAAGCGTGCCTTACACTAGCACCTTTTCTGTAATGCCAGTCCACTTTTCTGGCACTAAACAAGAATCACAGACTAGAAGTAAATTTTAAGAATTTTAAAATAGCTGGTAATCAGCTAATGGTGGACAATACTAAGAAAAGCAAGTATGCTGCTCAAGTTTTCTAACAGTCAGGAGGCTAGAAACCCTCTTTCCGTTCTTGCACAGCTGGGACTCCAGATACAAGACCACCTGACACCTTCATCTGTCAACCATTACTCAATAAATGCTAACACCTACAAAAAATACAGTAATAAAAACTGAAAATTTACATATTTAAAATAACATCAAATGTATAAAAACAAGTTCACAGATGCAGTATCTTCACATATATAACAAACTAGTTCAAAGAACCCAGTTAACTATTGCTAAAAGGCCAGTCATCTGTGTTCTTATATTTGCTAAGACTGCCAGTATTAACTGCACTCTTCTTCTCCCATTTCAGCCTATATGATTACCTTTTATCATTTGTTCTTCTGCCCTCCTCTGCTCTTCCTCTTCTTTTTCTCTATAGTAAGTTACTCTGCGTTCTTCTTTACGTTGCCTCTTGCGTTCCTCCAAGCGATTATGCCTTTCTTCTGATAATCGCTCTTCAAACTGTTTAAGTTTTTCCTGCAGTTGAACAGTCACAAAGAAAAAAAAAATTACTCAAAAGACTCACAATTGCTCGGGATTTAGCTCAGCAGCATAAGGGCCTGCCTTGCAAACAGGCAGTCATGAGTTCAATCCCTGGTATCAATTAAAAAAAAAAAAAAAAAGACTCAGTCTCTTGGAACCACAGAAAGGAACTTCCAACTTAAAAACCCTCAATTCCCAAATGAGTATGTCAAAATATAAAAAATTTAGATGTCAGAGTTGGGTGAAATGATATACACTGCTCACAAGGCAAGTTCATGCCCATCCAGGGCACCTACCAAGACCCTGTCTCAAAAATAACAAGGGATAGAGATGTGACGCAGCACTTCTTGGATTCAATCCCCAATACTTCTGGGTAAAGGGAAGACATTTAAGATTGTCGATATTATCTAACTCAGTGGCCATCTCTTTAAACAAACTAGAATTTTAACACCAACATACTTGTATCTAGGTTTTTCATTCCTGATTTAAACAGTAAACAAAAGCTTGTTACCAAAGGAAACTAAGGTAGGCAACTGTCACCTTTATTCATCTGGTTGACTATTTTTCCTTATAAAATATTCCCCCTGAAATGCTATTACAATATAATTTGACTAATAATTAGACATGTAATTCAAAGCAGGATTTACTATTTTGAAAAGAGACTACTTAAGGTAAAAGTTCACAAACTTTCTCTAAAACCAGTATCCTCACCTCATATACAGACTGCCGGGCAGCTTTGAGTCGCATCACAAATAAATCTCTGTCTTCAAGCATTCGTGACATTCTATTTTTATGTTCAAGAGCCTTTTCCCGTTCTAGCTGCATAGTGGTAATCTGCAAGTACGTAACATACAGTTAAATTTCAAAGCATGTTCTGTTTATCCCCAATTACTAGCAGATATTCTTTAAAAATTAGAAGCCACTCTTTCCCACTTTCCATCTTGTCATACAACAGCAGTTTCCTACGATGGCAATTAGAGACAAAAGACAAATGAAAGCAAGCCTGGAGCATCTACAGACAGCTTTTATTTAACCCAAAGATATCTAAAATTTTTATGAAAAGAAATATATACAGTAAAATGAAATAAGTATCATGTGTTTTAATAAGCACAGTGGTTTAGTTTTTAAAGTCATGTTCTCTGAAAACAGCTAGAAGCTGAAGATACATATATTAAAAGAGGGTGGGGGTTTAGCTGAATGGTTTAAGTACCTGCCTGGCAAGCATGAGGCTGTGAGTTTGATCCCCAGTAACACCTCACCACCACCACCAAAAAAGTAGGGCAGAATGCTACAAGTTCAAGGTTAGCCTGAACTACTTCAAAGACCCTATCTCAAAAAAAAAAAAAAAGCCCCAGATCATTGTATGCATGTTAGCTGATCTGTAGCACTCTTCTATTTCTATTTAGCTTTATATTATATATTGAGAATCACCACAAAAATTCTCTTTTCCATTAAAAACTTAAAGAAAGAATAACACTGTCTCAATGGCAACCATCAGATGACACAGAATTACAAGACTGATTGCCACCCCAAGATCCCCACAGGTTTTTGTTAACTCTTGCTAAGGTTACTTTTAAAACTACTATCAGTGTAATCTGTTCTACATTTTTGGCCACTATAAGCATTTACAAACCATTTTTATTTTGTGGAGGGGCTGGGAATGAAACTCAGAATCTCACATTTGCCAGGCAAGCACTGTGGTAAACCCTGTTTTTATACCAGAAGATCAGTATTATGTAGACCAACAATACTACACAGTGAGGTATCTAGTCACAAAGACTACATCATTTATAGGAAATACCCAGAACAGTAAATCTAAAGACAAAAAGTGGACTAGTAGTTCCCTAACGCTAAGGTGGTAAGAAGGAAATGGAGACTAAAAATTACTGCTAAAAGGTATAGGATTTTTGGGGTGTATTCTGGAATTAAGATTGTGGTGACTGTTGTACAGTTCAAGCAAAAACTATGAATTATATACCCATGCCATATAATTAACCCATTTAAAAATATTTTTAAATAAGCTTTCTAGTTGTGTTTTAGTATATTAATCCCTTGTGAAATTTTCTATTTTTCCACCAATCTGTTACTAAGCAGTCATTAAAACACCATTTTCAACGATCAATTTTGAAACCCTGGTTTCATTAATGGCAGAGGATTTAAAGTTTAAAATCTAAAATACAGGGGCTGGGGATTTAGCTCAGCGGCACAAGCACCTGCCTTGCAAGCAGGCAGCCGTGAGTTTGATCCCCGGTACCAATAAAAAAGAAAAAGACAAAAAACAAAATCTAAAATACAGTCAAATAAAACAACTTACTCTTTCTTCTTCTTGTTGTTCCCACAAATCCATATCCTTAATCCTTTGTTCCTCGTAAGCACTCTTTATCAAAGGAATCTCTTCTAAACGTTTAGCTCTTTCAAAATAGTCAATCTGAGTGACATCAAAGCATATGGCATTTTTAAAAGGATCTCTTTTAACTCATCTTTATAACACATTAGTTCATTGATCTTTTCTTTCCATTTACCTTCTTTTCTTGATTCTTTAAGCGTTCTTGAAGTTCTTTCTTTTCTTTTTCCAGCTGTTCAACTTGTTTAGCCATGATGAAATCTGGATCCAATTCTTCAAGGTCCTAAAAGAAAATACAAGTATGTTCTCCTCCTTAGTAACACACTTAGCAGTCAACAAATCTGACTGCACTCTAGAATCAAAATTGCTAAATTGCTGTTTCACAAGTGCTTCTTTTGGGGGTGTGTTCTTTTGGTGCCAATTTAGGAAATACAAAGCTACTATACAATAGTACAGGGGGTTTTTTTGCTACGTAGCTTATGTTGGGCTTGAACTCACAACAATTTTGACTCAGCTGCCCCAAGTGCTAGGATTACAGGTGTGCACCAACACACCCATACTTAATAACCTTGTTTCTATTTCTGACTCGTACAGTTTATAGTCAAACTCTACCACTGTAAGATTAGTGGTTAAAAGGTACAGAGCAATTAAAACTAAATGCTTTTAGATTGAGTTAATAAAGCTGGCAGTAACGAAATGTATGAAATAACCAAACAACTGAATAAAAGATTCTTATGTTCTAAAAAGACCTGGATAAAATTCAGATCTTACTGGGCGATAAACTACATACCTCGATGTCAATATCTTTGAATGCTTTTGCACCCAGCTCTGTTTTTTTAATCTGCTCCAAACGCTCACGAACAGTTTTCTTTTTGATTTGTTCATGTTCCTGTAAGATCCTCTCTTTTTCTCGCTCCTTTGCCTCCTGGCGCAGCCTCTCTTCTTCAGCCTTCCGTACTTTCTGGAGCTCAGCTTCCCTCTGCTCCAATTCTTCTTTCTCACGTTGAATATTTAGGCTTTCAAGCCGTTCTTTCCTTTCCTCAATTGTCTGACGGCGAGCCAGGATACGCTGGTGCTCTTTTCGCGAATTTTTAAGATACGCGGTAACTGCCAACTGATGCTGTTCTTCTTTCTCTTGCTTCAAAAATAAACACATTTTAAACAACTGAAGAACCAGGGATATAGCTCAGCAGCACAAGTGCCTGCCTGGCGAGTGCAAGGTCCTGAGTTAGATTTCAGGTACCAAAAACAAAAACAAACAAGACACTGAAAGCAATATACCTTGGTATTAGATATTAAAGACATTATAAAATAATCATGATCTGCTCTTCTCCAACATATCTGCATTTTATACCAAGAATAGTATTATCCAAATTATTCCTTTCTAGTACTAAATACTAACGCACTATTTTTATTAAGCCTTTAACTAACAATGACATAGCTAAAGAACCACCTTTATGTGCTGAGCCAACATCTCTGCACCAAATCAACCCTAAGCATTTAAGACAAAATATTAGGAGAACACACTAATACTTTAAGAAAAAGCCCAATTCACTATTCTGAGGGCCATGGTGTGTGCAGTGTGTTAGTTTACACAACACTACCCATTATTACTACCCTGCTTGTGCTGTGTACTATTTTATGCCACAGAAAGTTCAACAATTTAAATATCTGCTAAAGATATTTCATAAAATAACAAAACTACCTAGTACAAGTAAGTCCTTCTCTCAGATCAAACTGTTGAAAGACATGGTATCTAAGTCCCTTCAAAACATTTGTGAACCATTTCCTTGAAGATGCATACCAATATGTGAGAGGGCTTGATAACTTCAAGTGCTTTTGCAAGTACTGACGACATGGCTGTAAGCTGATTTCTTATCTGCTCTGAAGGCATGCTCTGAAGGTGAGGACCAATTGGGGCATCTTCTCGAGTAGCATAATTCAAATCAGATCCAAAACTCAAGGTTCGAGAAGTGTGGTCAATACGAACCTTTGAAAACACAGTAAATAACAGTTAAAACAATGTGTTAACATTAAGTCATTCTACAACTGGCTTTTTGCTTTGTTTTTTTATTTTTTTGACACAAGGTCTTCACTCTGTAATGCAGGGACTCTCACTATGTAGCCCAGGCTGACCTTGAACTTACAGTGACCTCCCTGCCTCAGGCTCCCGAGTGCTGGATTACAGGCCTGCACCACCACACCCAGTTTTACCAATGGCTTGATTAAAATTTTTCAGCTGAATTTCAGAAAGAAATGCAGAAAATGTTAAGTATCAAAGCTATGAAATTTACTCAGTAAAACTTTAGAAAAGTGCCATTGTAGGAAAAGCAGCATGTCTTTCTACTTCTCAAAACCTTTCTGCCCTCCCCAATATCCCCTGCCCTTACAGTATGAACCTATAAATCGCTTCTCGGCCTTTTAGCTAAGGTCAAGGCAGTATACATACCTGCAGGTCACAGTGCCTAGCTGCATCTACTATGGCCCGTTCCAGTTGGAAAGCGTCAACAAAAGGAACCAGAGAAGTCAAACGAGAAAATTCAATGCTCTGATAAATCTGTGCCACCTGCATAAAAAACACAGAGTTAATAATAATAGCTGCTACTCATTCAGTACTTTTCATGTAGAATCTCATGATAGCCTTGGGAAATTTTACTCACTGTTCAGAGAAAAAAAAAATTTAAAGCTCAGACAATTAAACATATAAAAACTCAGACACTTAACAGGACACTGAAGCTGAAATTCAGTCACAGACTATCAACTACAAATTCTATGCTATGACCCATCACATTATACTAGTTACTTCTGAAGTCATATTTCTGTAAAACAAAATTAAAAGTCATATATTTGTAGATAAAGATGCTACTAGTCTAATCTTTAAACACTTCATTAAATTTCTGTCTGAAGGAGACTGGCAGCATTACTATTTATAGTTATTCTGCTAATTAACCTTCAAATATTTGTATAGCACATAAGAAATAACACTGCTCACATATATGAAAGAAAGCAGGTCAATGAAATGTGCATATACTTAAGTGAACATAATAAACTCTCCTCCCAAGTAAAACAAAACCAGGAACACGGAAGCCATTATAAACCATAACATTTAAACTTACTCCAAGGTGGAATACAACATTAGAAGATACTAATACCTACTGTTAGCAGAAGACAAAATATGTCTTATTCATTATTTGTGGGACTCTATTAAGACTTGAGGAAGCAGCTGAAGATTTAACTGTGTAAACTATGTAACTAATTCCACTTCTCATGCTACAAAGTCCTTCTGTATTGAATGACAAACTTAGGCAAAATATTCAAAGTGTAGTAGTACTTTCTAACATGGGTAAAAATCTCAAAATCCAGGTTTTTGTTAATATATTCTGCATTAAATACACTATACCAGTGGTGGCAAACCTATGGTACTCATGCCCCAACAGGCTTTATTCACTGAAACTTCTACAAGGTTTGTTATTACTATGAAAAAAAAAAAACCACTGTGAGTACTGAAAGAAATAAAGGTAGCACCACATCATTAACAAGAAACACACACAAGGGGCTGGGGATTTAGCTCAGCGGCATAAGCACCTGCCTTGCAAGCAGGCGGTCGTGAGTTCCATCCCCGGTACCAATAAATGAAAAAGACAAAAAAAAAAAAAAAAACCCACACACACAAATACAGTATTCAGCAAAATAAGAAAAAAGCAGTTAAATGTAACTGTTTTCAAACTGATAATATAATAGCACTAATTTGAACAGGCTTTCATTTGACAATCCTAAGTTTGTTCAGCTTTTAATTTTGTGATCAAAACATATATCCAATGAAGGGGCTGGGGATTTAGCTCAGCAGCATAAGCGCCTGCCTTTGGAAGCAGGCAGTTGTGAGTTCGATCCCCGGTACCGATTAAAAAAAAAAAAAAAAAAAAAAAAAAAACATATATCCAATGACATGGGGATGTAACGTGCCTATCATGCTGGAGGCGGGGGGGGGGGGCAAAGAAAGGTTATGGTCTAATTCCTTCATAAACATTCATTTGCATCTTTACCTGCTGCAAGAGGCGAAGTATGGTGTTGTTCTGCAGTTGTGGCACATACTGCTGTAACTCTGGCTCCTTTTCAGGTTGTTCTCTAACCCAATTTAGAACCTATAAAATACATTAATTTTTTTTTTTAAATACATTAATTTGAGAAAGAATGTTACTATGTAACAGATACTAAAACATCAGAAATTCTTTCATTTTTTAATAATATAAAAAAATCACAGGCAAATGATAAGTTCAAACTTTATCATAAAGCTATTCATTCTTGTCTGAAGGTGACTGACAGCAATGGCTAAGTTAGTCATGCTGCTAATTTACCTTCAAAGGTTGTCTAGCACATCAGAAATATCTTTTCTCTCAATATAGATGAAAAAAGACAATGAAATGTGCACTGTTTCAACCATGCTGCAATACCAGCAAAACAGTGGCACTGACAAAACTTAAGACAATGGCTTACCTTTGTGACTCTCTCACAGAGTTTTAGTGGGTTAAATTCTACCTCCAACCAGTTATAAAGGTCTTTCACCTCTGGAACAACATACTGTAGCACATTAAATCTGACCTACAATAAGCAAAAAACCAAAACAAAAAAAATTTACTGTAGGAAAATGTCCAACTGTGATAAACTAAGTATAAACTGAAATAAAACTGGGTATAAAGTATGGGACTAGAAATCTGAAAAATAATTGTAAGACTGCCTACCCTCAACTCCCCTTTAAATTTACTAAAATACAGTCCAAACTACTATTGATTTTTTTGACCCACATTATGTATCTTCCTATAGTAAAAAGCCCCTAAGAATGTAAAAAGAAAGTAAAATCAACGTAATAAAAATATTTTCGGGGCTGGGGATTTAGCTCAGCGGCATAAGTGCCTGCCTTGCAAGCAGGCAGTCGTGAGTTCGATCCCTGGTACCAATAAAAAGGAAAAAGACCAAAAAAAATAAAATAAAATAAAATAAAGATTAAGTATTTGGCAAACCCAGACTGTCTTATTACCAACATACAAGTAAAATGTCACACCTTATAAATCATTTACTTTTAGGTAAATAATCACACAAACATCACAGCAGCACCATTCTTAATGAGCCTAAACAGAGAAAACTCAAATATCCGTCAACAGCATAGTGTTTGCTCACTTAATAGTTAGCCCACCCTCTGTCCTCAGATTCCACATGTAGAGTCAATCAATCTAAGAGGAAAAATATATTCAGGGGAAAAAATTCCCATCTGTACTAAACACGAATTAGCACTCAAAATTTTTTAACCTTGCTCTCAACAATAAAGTATAACTATATGCACAGTACTTATTTTTTATCAGATATTGTAATTAATCCAAATATTATTTTCTATTTATAGCAAGTTATGTGTAGATTATATGCAAATCACATGCCATTTTAGTTAAAGGACTTGTCCATCTCTGAATTTGGCTATCCACAATTAACCTGGAATTTATCCATCACCAAGGGATGACACGACTGACTGCAAGATACACCAGTGGGAACTGTCTTTGACGACTCTAAGAGTTTCTACAATAACCAAAGACATGACCATCAACTGATGTTCTTATCTATTCTGAAACATGCTCTGCAATTAAGGACAACCTGGGGCATATGCTCAGGTAGCAGCAGTTCATATAGCAGCTAAAAAGCAGTTTCACTGCATGATCCTCATTAAGAACCACTGCTTTAAAATAAAATGAATGTCTGAAAGGGAAAGAAGCTAGAAATATACCACATGTGTACAGAATCAGGTCTAAAGTTGGCTTATCTTCTCTGCTGGTTTCATCTTCATCTCTCAAATGTATATGTCTGCTTGATTAGTTTCCTATAACTATAAAATACAGTTAAGTCCCTAACTTATGAACATCTGAGCTGTGAACTTTCACAAGTATATTTTATTATAAGATTCATTTTGTTGGATACAAATGAATCTGACTTCTAAGCAATTCTCCTAGAACAAAACTTGTTCTTAAGTTAGGAACCTTCTATAATCCACAGTCCTTCTTGCTCAGTGTTACTTCTCCTCAGTCTGACTGTCCAACAGTACTAGTCTACATCCTGCTACATCAAAGCTCTCACCAATTTAATCCTAGATTCCACTGGGACAGAAACTCCCTCAACTGAACAGAGTGCCCGTTTATATCCCCTGACAATGACTCAGAATTCCCAGTATTTAACCATGAAATACTAAATCTTCCCAAAGTTTTCTGTCCAAAGTATAAATGCTCAAACATCTACTAACCATATCATTAATAAGGCCAATTCGCGTTGGTGGGGCTTGAAGACCCAGCAGTGTTGCAAGACGACGTTGTTTTTCAACTATAATGCCATCCATATCCAGAAGTCGAGCAATATCTGTTCGTTCAGGAGTAATAGGGATGGACAGAGTAGCCAAAAGGACTCTCGTAGACATTCTATAGTGAACAAAGCCCATTAAGTTTGTAAATGTTGTTCAATAAGCAAAAAAAGCAAAACATCACTGACCGTTCTCTTTAGTAATCTATGTGACATGCTAGTAACTATATATATCACACCATGGTTAATCATATTTATACTATTTCAACACAGCATGGGATTAGTTAAAAGTAGACTTTGCTTAAATAAATACTCATAGAATCAAAGTTCAACCTACTCACTATTATCCTTTTCTAAACAAGACTGTCATTAAATGGTAGAAAAAGCAGTTACTAAGGCAACTTTAAAAACTAAGCAAATACATGGCAATAAGGACAAAAAAATGTAAGGACTATAAGTGAACAGGTACAGTAACCACATGAGGAGAGAGAGCCAAAAGCTTAATTTTTACTTCTCTCAAACTCAAGAAGGCCAGGTTCACATTCTTAGCAACTAAATCATAGGTGGTATATGCATGATGACTGTTATCAGGCAGCCTGCATCACCGGCAGTACAAACAACTCATCATTTATATCAGTCTTTCACTAATAAAATTAATAGTTTATAAGGGACCCTATCTAGTTAGTTGTCTGAATATGGATAATTACTGCCCAAATATAAAAATACCACTCATACCAATTTTAAATTATTATAAGCTAACAATTCTATTAAAAGAAATGTCTGAATCATTTATCAATAATTCTCTAAATTTTAACATTAAGAGCTGTACCACAACTTAGCTATATTAATTTTTTTATACCATTTTAACATTTCCCTTAAAAGACTATAATCAACTCTCTTCTTACATTGTTATAATTAAAGGCCCCCTGAGCAGCAGTGTGAGCAACCCACTGGGACAGTCATGTATGTATCAATGTGGCTCAAACTAGCAGGAACGATCAGCATCAAATCAGAGCTGCCTGGCAGCCAAAATACATGAAATTACAGCCATGGCTGAGCATGGTGTCGCACACCTGTAACCCTAGCACTCAGGAGGCTGAGGCAGAATTGTTACTGAGAGTCGAAACCCTGTCTCTCAAAAAAGAGAATTATATAGCCAAAGATTTAGCTCAGTGGCCTAAGTGTCTGCCTGGCAAGTACGAGGTTGTGAGTTCAATCCCTGGTACTATTAAAAAAAAAAAAATTGGGGCTGGGGATTTCAGCAGCATAAGCACCTGCCTTGCAAGCAGGCAGTCATGCGTTCAATCCCCGGTACCAATAAAAAAATAAATACATAAATAAAAATTAAAAATAAATAAAAAAATTAAAAAGACAATCACAGTCCTATTGTGAATGTGTTAAATTTAAGCACTAAGGAACACTAAACACTGTGAGCTCTGAAGCCCAAGAGTCAGGCATTGCAATTTTAGCTTCACTATTTCAGTGACTTTAGGCAAGATACTGAATTTTCTGAAAATAAAGGACATTATGAAAGTTAAACCAAAAAACAGATTAAATCATCTGATTGTGCCTATTAAAAGAGTACTTACTATGGAAACACTACACAAGGTGTGATGCAAAATGTAGTTAATATTTAAATTTCAAAAATGCACTACAGTCAAAGAAGTATTACCATGACTCCCCCTCAAAACACCGCCCCTCACTTTGAGCACAAGTTCCCCATCATCTGAACTACTTTCTGATATAGTTCAGAGAGTCCTTTTTAGTAGTGCAGCCTCTCTCTGTCCTGATCTGATCCAATTCATAACACATTTACCCTCATGGCCATTTTGACTCTGAGGATGAGCCACATTGCAGGGGTGCAGATCTAGTGAAAAAGATGGGTGAGGACACCTAATTTTTTTTACCTTTCTATTAGATGGCACTTGCCAAGTTTTTTATTACAACTCCTAAATACATGAAACAAGCCTTCCAGAACTGAGAAAGCGGTAAAAAGAAAAAGCCAGGCTTGGTAGCTCATGCCTGTAATCCTAGCATTGAGGAGACTAAGGCAACAGGGTTTAAGTTTGAGGCCAACCTTGGCTACATGAGTTTAAGGCTAGCCAGCCTGAAATACAAAATGAAAGTTTATGTCAAATCCCAAAACAAAAAAGTGCCAAAACCAATGTTAACAAGCAAGGGAAAATACTTTGAGGGGACTAATGACAATGGCTTTTACAGTAATACACTTTCTAAACTTTTTTTGCTTGTCTTTATTTTTGAGACAGGGTCTTGCTATGCAGTTCAGGCTATCTTCAAACTCACTGTGATCCTCCTGCCTCAGCCTCTTGAGGGCTGAGATTATAGGCATACACCAGCACATCAACCATCTTCTAAACTCCAAATACTTACAATGCATTTGATTACATTTCATTAAATATCTTTAATAAAAACAAGTTTAAACTAATGTGGACAGTGTAATAATAGTGAATAACATGATGGATGCTGCCCTCAAAAGTTTCAAAGAAACCAGCTCGCAGAATTCATTTAGTTAGTTCCATGTACAGCTATAAAACTGAAAAATACAAATCTCTATGATGAATGTGATTATGTATATCTAAAATGTACAATACAATCTGATTGGAGGAAGAAAAAAACTGTAACATGATGTACATAACTCTACCAAAAGCCAAATAACATGGTCTAACAACACAAAAAAGTAGTATGTGAACTGTCATAATCCAACTGAAATGCATTTTAAAAAGGCAACTGAGGAACTGAAAATATAGCTCAGTGACAAAGCACTTGGCTAGAAAGTAAACATGTAGGCTTAATCCCAGATCCACAAAAAACAAAAAAAACTCACATGTGAAAGAAAACAAATACATATATTTTAAAGGGGTCTGCTGAATATCCTTTGATATTCATGAATATCTGTGCATATGTTGAGATGTTTATTTTCCTAGTATAGATGAGTACAAAATTTTGATGGTTCAACATAAAACTGGAATTTCCATGGTGTGAAAGTTAATAGAAATAATACTTTGAATTTCGATATTTTCCCATCATGCTAATTACGGAAGTTCCAACTCTCAAAATGGCAAACTGAGGCAGACAGCAACAGCTCCCAGTCAGCCATGCAATCAGTAAACAAGTGATAACCTATGCAGTGGTGGCAAATCTTTTAGAGCTTTCAATGGTACAACTGACTGCAGAATGCAAGCCATAGATAGGTTCACCACTACAGCCCTCAGTACACATTTTCAATTTAAAACAGATATACTGGGATATAATTCCAGTGTAAGTTAAGGGGCATATGCATTCAACACCTAATATTTTAAATCCAGAAAAAATGGCAACAGGAACATCCTAGAATGCTCACAGAACAGACCTAATAACAAAAAACTACCCAATCCAAGCCAGATACAGTGGTGCATGCCTAAAATCACAGTGTTCTAAGAGACTGAGTCAGAAGGATTCCAAGTTCAAACCCAGCCTGGGCAATACAAACTTTAGGATTGGGGTGTAGTTCCATGTAAAAGTCCTAGGTTCAACCAAGCAGAAATTTTGAGAAAGCCTGACTAAGACCACACTGTCATGTCATTTAGTGTTAGGTATTTATTTCATGTTTTCAGTATTATCCAACTATAACATTCCTACCTTTGCATTTCATCTTGGGTGAGATTTTTTCTCATTTCTCTAGACAGATGGTAAAGACGATGTAGTGTAGATGCATGAAAAAGAGCATTTCCAGATTTCCAAAATACAGTTGAGACTTTGTTATAGTAATTTGCCATCAATTGAGGCTTAGGTGGTTTTTTAGACAAGGAAAATAGGCCATGAATATCTTCTACAGCTTTGAATGCTTCCTAAAACAGGATGTAAATAAATTATTACATTATTAAATGAAACAGAAACAAAAAGCTAATTGAAACCTCTCTATGAAGCGTGAGACAAAGAACACATACAAACAGTATATAAAATGCCTTAATATGCATTTCTTTTTAGTTACCTACAATATCTACATATTTGAGAAAATTGTCCTAAATACAAAAACATTTAACTCTTTTATACTATGAAGTAGAGCAGCCTAAAAAGAAAATATCTGCATAGTATTATCATACTACTTCAGGCAATATCAACATAAAGAAAAAACCTAGAAGGATGTAAAACAGAATACAGGTGATCTAGGTAATGAAACAATGGATGAACATTTATTCTTTTAGCTTAACCATTTTTCTTTCTTTCCTTTGGTTGGTTTTTTTTGTTGTTGTTTTTTGGGGTTTTTTTTGTCTTTTTGAGGCAGGGTCTCACTATATAGTTCAGGCTGGACTTGCGTTCACTTTGTAGCCCAGGCTGGTCTTGAACTCACAACGATTCTCCTGCCTCAGCCTCCCAGAGTGCTGGGATTACACGTGTGCACCACTGAGGCCAGCTTATCTACTTTTCTTATAGAGCATGTTTTTTGTTGTTGTTGTTGTTGTTTTTGTCTTTTTCCTTTTTATCGGTACCAGGGATCGAACTCACAACTACGCTTATGCCGCTGAGCTAAATCCCCAGCCCCATAGAGCATGTTTTTAACTTGTCGTTTAGTTAGTACTTTAAAATAAGTATCCCTATAAAAAATAGGAAAATACTAAGTGAAAGAATGAGAAATCAAATCACTTTTTTACTTGGCTGAAAATTTTAGGATTTTTCTCTGTAACTCTACTTTTGGTCCAATATAGAAAAAAGCCCTCAGCTGGGTATGGTGGCACATGCCTATAATCCCACCACTTGGGAGGCTGAGGCAGGAGGATCATTGCAAATTCAAGAGACTAGCCTGGGCTATAAAGTCAGCTCAAGGCCAACCTGAACTGCATTGGGATCCTGTCTCAAAAAGACCAAAAAAAGAAGAAGAAAAAGCCCTCAAGTTACATGGTTACAAAATCAATGAAAACCCAGGTGTGGTGGTGCAGGCCAGTAATCCCAGGACCCAGAAAGCTGAGGCAACATCCAGAGAATTCAAAGTCAACCTGATTTACAGAGTGAGACCTTGTCACAAAGCAAAACAAAACCGAAGTGAAAATGTCTTTGCAGGATTCTAAGAGAAAAAAAGCCAGGAAGAGGATAAACTTCCCAGAACCAATACTGGTTAAGTGTGGTATTTACCACGCATGCTACCTAAACCAAACCATTGCTAAGGAAATATTCCAGATCATCACTCCTCCAGCTGCAGTAAAAGAAAGTATATGATTTTTAATTTTCAACACACTAGTACCAACACAACACTTACATTTGAAGCTACTACAAATAAACAAAAGTCAAATATTATCAGATTAAACAGGCAAACTGAGTGTAGTGGCACACATCTGTAATCCCAACACTTGGGAGGCTGAAGCAGTGGGAACGTAAGTTAAAGACCTGCCAAAGCTACACTGTGAGTCCCAGGCCAGCCTGAACCACATAGCAAGCCCAAAAACAGGTACAAAATTATGATCAAATTGCTATTAAAAACAAAACAAAAAAAACCTGTAAGCTGAGCATAGTGGCATATACCTGTAAACCTACCTGTCTGGGAGTTTAAGACGGAAGGATCATCAAGTTTAAGCCTACCATCAGCACCTTAGACTCCATCTTGAAATTTAAAGGGGGGGAAAAAAAAAACCAAGGGCTGAGAATTACAGACATGCACCAAGCCCTAGGGTATGCAATTTATTTGGAGAGAGATCTTAGATGTGTTGCCAGTACCGCTTAAAAAAAAAAAAAAAGACTGGGCACAAAGAGTGGGGAGCATGCATTTCGTATCCACAAGACTCTGGGCTCAATTCTGAGGACTCCCACTCCCCCAAAAAATTACTTTACAAATTCCTGCTTTATCACAGACTTGAAACAGTCCATACGAACACCACTCATGAAAACTTACAGCAACAGTGACAATGTACTGTGTTATATGCAAAGAAACTGAATCTGAAAGACTACATTTGACCCAAATTTCACAGGATAATTAGAGCCAAAATTTTCTGAGACTTCCTAGCCCATCAAATAATCTTAAATTCCTTAAATCTTACCTGTCAAAATTAACCAACCATAACAAGATGAGACATTCATTAAGGGAAAGAACTGGTTTTTTTGTTTTTTGTTTTAGAGACAGGATCTCCCTATATATATTCCAGGCTGGCCTCCACCTTATAGGAATCCTCTTGCCTCAGCCTCCAGCAGTAGGATTACAGTAGTATGCCACCATATTCATCTTAAGGACAGGTCTAATACAAGAAAAGTTAATAATTCACTACATACCTGCCAAAGTTCCATGCTGATGGCACTATCCAACTGAACAAGTCTCGTTTCCAAATGCATGGATTGGCTCTCTGGATTATTGAGATTGATTGCTGTGCTTTGGTTATGATGGCGCTGAATTTGGGACAAGTGCATTCTCAAATTGTCACACAGTTTACGGAACTCAGCCTTACGGGTATATTGGAGGCAGAATTTAAAAGCTGCAGAGGTAATTGTCAAATATATTAAGTGCTTTCCACTGTCAAATATTTCAGATTTTCACATATTAGTATCAGTTATTTTAACAAGATTCACTAAACTCACCATTAATCTTTGAACGTGTTGTAGAATGTCATAACCTCACCCATTCCATGTACTCTGACTAGCGTTCAGAACCCTAACAGAACTAAAGACATGATCCTCAGTCCTAGATTAAGACCAAAATATGGTTCTGGAAATTTATGAATAAAAAGTAATTATAATTTATAGATAATAGATTTTGAGAAGATCTACCCTTCAATGACCTATCACTTCAAATCCTAAGAGTAAAAACTGCTAGGCAGAAATACAATAGTTAATTTACACAGAATGCAATATGCTTTCATATTAATTAAACTATGCATTACAAACTGGAAATGTATAATATCCTAACTCCAACTCTATATACAGATACTCAGGTGAACTACTTGATCCGTCATTGAAATACACCATACTCTTTTGCTGTTGTCACTTTCCACAACTCCTCTGCTGGTTTTGTTTTCTGTTTTTTGTTTTTAGAGACAGTGTCTTGCCATGTAGTGCAGTCTGACCTCCTGCCTTACCCTCCTGAGTGCTGTGATTACAGACATGTGCCACCCTGCCTGGCAACTACTTTGCTTTTAAAAAATACAATATTATGGGGGTAGAGTGGGGTGGGGAGGGAAATAGGGAAAAGAAAAAAAGAAGGAAAAACTAGAAATAAAACTTTTGTAAATAAGGAGAGAAAGAAGAGTTAAAAGGAAGACAGGAAAATAAAAAATAAAAAGAATTAAGTTATATCACATACACATATAAATTCCTATGATGAATGTGATCGTTACACATACCTAAAAATGGCCCAATAAACTTAATAAAAAATACAATACTACTATTTCAACAGGCTTATCCTCACTCAATTTACTTTTTTTTTTTTTTTTTTTTTTTTTAAACTTTTTATCGGTACCGGGGATCGAACTCACTACTGCCTGCTTGCAAGGCAGGTGCTTATGCCGCTGAGCCCACTCAATTTACTTTCAATGGTTATCAAAAAGCACAAGTTTACTTGTAGAAAGTGAAAATTCACATTAGTCATTAAATGAAGTTCCAAAACTCTCAGTAAAACAACCTTAGTTGTAAAGTCAAACATTTGAATCAAGAAATGCCAATCATCCCTACAGAACTAAACTTACAAAGTACATAAGGGTAAAACAGAAGATAGCATAGGCAGCTTAGCAACTTAGTGAGATACTGTCTCAAAAATAAGTAGGGCTGGGAATTTAGCTTACCAGTACACATGCCTGCCTGGGAAGTGCAAGATCGTGAGTTCAATCCCCAGCACCAAAAAAGTAAATAAATACAAATAAAAATAACAAAGGGCAGGAGGTGTAGCTCAGCTCTAAGGCCTTGGGTTCAAAACCACCGTATTGGGGATGGGGGCAGCATTTAGCACAAAAAGAACAAGTGACAGTAGGGAAGAGAGGTGATATACTGTCAGACACTCCTCTACACATTAACTGTATTTAGGAAAACACAACTGGATAGTATGATGACCCTCAGGCATCAAAAAAGTCTACTTCTATATTCAATAATACTGTTTAAAAAGAACAAACAGATCAGGACATGATAGCAAGACACTTGTCATCCCAGCATTCTGAGACGCTGACATAGAAAGAATTCAAGTTCTAGCTCAGCCTGGGCAATTTAACAGCTTAGTGAGACCCTGGCAACATCTTAAAGTTCACTTTTCAAATCAGTTTACTTAGATTTCCTATTGACATTTTTACCTTGCTGGGCAATATCATGGTAGAGGCGTTCTACTCGAGAATTGTTTCGAAGAAGGTCCAAACACTGTCTGTATGACTCCCACAGGAACTTAACCCAGGGAGTTAAAAGTAACCTATCAGTACGATCCTGTGTGTCTTCCCCACTTACAGCACTTAGGAGAACACTACAATGAAAGGGGGGGAAAAAAAGCATTAGAAATAATTTTAGACCTTATTTCCCACTTTGTAACATGGTTTAACAAAACAATGATCATCGTGAGACAGTATCAATTCTTCCAACTCTGCATATACTGTAAAATATCACAATCAACACTTGATTACCAATCTATCTTATACAACTCTCTAGGGGTACTACATATTTAAAACTTCAAAGCATTCTTTCTGAAAAACAGTACTTCAAACATTATTTCATTACTCAGAAAAATATTGATCTAACCAACAAAGTACTTACAATATTAAATGTTGAACTCACATACCTCTCAGGAGTTTGAATATTATCCAGATCTTCTATATCTAATACCATCTGTTGGGATTCTTCTTTGGCAGCTTCAGTTTTTTCTTCTGCCAGTTTCAAATATGACCTAACGACATCCTCTAAAGATTTAATATTCACCTAAGCAGGAAGAAAAAGGAACTATTATTTCCAATGACCTAAAAATGTTCAAACAGAAAATTTTCACGTAAGATGCATTATCTGTGAGAAGTACACTCTTTCAAAAATTACTACTCATTTTCAAAATATAAAACCAAGCTGTTTGTACCTGTTGACAAATGTTCTTATACTGGTATAATCCTTCCTTAGCCAGGTGGCTCTTACGAAGATCCACACAAAGCTCCAAGTATTTCAACATAATTGGCTCATGTATCTTCTGCCATGTTCTATGTTTCTTACTTTTCATAACATCATAAAGAACATCTAGGGCAGGCTGCTTTTTGCCAACCTCAAGAAACTCTGAAAAAAAAAAAAAAACAATTCAGGCAAATTAAAATAATTTATGTATAATACATAAGTGTAGAAACTTGCCTTTTTTAACTGGCTGCTTTAATTTCTTAACTCATCAACTTTTTAGATCACATTTATGTGTCCGTTTTAAAAACTATAATTATCCAAAGGTAGCTGGGCATAGTGGCTCTAACCTATAATCACAGTACTCAAGAGACTAAGGCAGAGTTGGAGACCAGCCTGGGCTACAAAGTAAGCTCAAGGCCAGTCTAAACTTAATAGTGAGACCCTGTCTCAGAAAAACAGAACAAAAAAACCACAGAAACTTAAATTATAAAGAAAAACACTACCTTAGCAACATCAAAATGTTTAAGTATTACTTCACAGTCACATTTACCTGGCTGATGAAATGTTTACACAACTTAAGGCAGAAAAACACTACATTTACTACTTTAAGATTAATTTAATCACTTGGGAGGCTGAGGTAAGAGGATTGTTGTAAGTTTAAGACTGGGCTACAGAGGCTAAGGATTTAGCTCAGCAGCATAAGCACCTGCCTTGCAAGTGTGTGGTCATGAGATCGATCCCTGGTACCGATAAAAAGAAAAAGACAAAAAAAAAAAAAAAAAGACTGGGCTACAACATGAGTCCAAAGCCATTGTGAACAGCACAGCAAGACCCTGTCTCAAAAAGACAAAAAAAGATTTGAGGAGCAGAAGGAAATTCAAGTAGAGAGTGGGTGAATGGAAAAAAAAGTTGTATCACGTACAGGCACAAATTGACTGTAATGAGTGTAATCATTATGTAAACCTAAAATGTACCAATAAACTTAATTAAAAAGAAAGATTAAGTTAGGTAACACTGGAGCTCAAACACAGAACCATTTCACAGAGCTACAATCCCAGACCACTTTTATACTTTAAAACAGGATCTCACTAAGTTGCTAAATTGCCCAGACTGCGTTCAACCTTGCAATCCGTGGAAATCAGTGTAGAGATTCCTCAAAAAACTAGAACTACCAGCCGCGTTCCACCCAGCTACTCCTCTTCTGGGTATCTTCCCAAAAGAATTAAAAACATCATATCACAGTGATATGTGTACGTACACCCATGTTTAGAGCAGCACAATTTGTAATACCTAGATCTTGGAAACAACCTAAATGCCTATCAACAGACGAATGGATAAAAAAGATATGGCATTTTTATACAATGCAATACTACATTCAGCCATCAAGAAGGATAAACTGGAGACATAGATAAATGGCTGCAGCTTGAAACCATACTCAGGGAAATAAATTGGACACACATGTAAACATTGTCTCACTATTGTTGAGAAGCTGAAAGAAATGTATGTGTATGTATATATGCATATGTGTGTATATAAAAAAAGTTAAAATAGTTACATCACTGATTTCCCATTAAAGAAAAAGATTTGTGCTGGTATTGTTTGGACAGTTAAATGCAAACATCTTGTGCTCTGGGTGCAAGACTTGGGGATGACAATGTGCAATGTATGTACTATTGTTGTGCCCTGAATGACAGGTTTTGAAATTGTTTTTACTTTTCTTCTCTTTGAAATAAAATAGACTCAGGAAAAAAAAAAATCTTCAAGCAAGCGGTCATGAGTTCGACCCCTGGTACCGATAAAAATGAAAAAGACAAAAAGAAAAAAAAAGAAAGAAAAGAAAAATCTTGCAATCCTCTTGTCTCAGTTTCCCAGAATGCTGGGATTACAGTCATGTGCCACTATGCCCGATTTAGCTGGCTATATTTTAGTGAGTCTATTTCTGGGTTTCTATTTTATTCATTTTCTATTAATCAATATATATAGTCTTTGCCAATATCACATTGTCTCCGTTAATGCAACCTTCATACTTGGGGATATAGCACAGTGGCACAGTGCCTGCCTGGCAAGGTCCTGAGTTCAATTCCAGATACCAGCAAAAAAAAAAAAAAAATCAGGTAGTAAGTGCTCTAACTTTTTCCTTTAGTATTATAAGGGCTAGAGTCCATTTCCATACAAAATTTTTCAATCAAGTTTGTAGGTATACACAATATAACTTATTATGATTTTTGAATGGGATTACACTAAATTTATAGAGCTTAAAGAATTGGTAGCAATATTGAGTCCCCAAACATAGCTCTCTCTCTCTCAATTTGTTTACTCCAGTCTAAACACAGGATAAATAAAACCCCAACTAATAGGGCTGGGGATTTAGCTCAGCAGCATAAGCAGCTGCTTTGCGAGCATGAGGTAGTGATAGTGAGTTCTATCCCTGGTACCATTAAAAAAAAAAAAATCCTAACTAAAAGATGCTAAGATTTAAATGTAATGTGTCCCTCAAAAATTGACATTGATATTTAATCCCTAATACAACAATATTAAAAGGAAAGATCTTCAAGAGGTGATTAGGTTACAACAGGTTCACCCTCATAAATGCATCAGTGGCTTTTAGAGAAGTGAGCCATCTTTTTCAGAAGAAGCAACAATGAGGCACTCACTGCCCTGGAAGCATACAGCCAACCTTCACCATACACCAAAACCGTTGGCCATCTTGATCTCAGTCTCAGGAAATGAGAGAAACAAATTCCTGTTTTGGATAAAGTACCCATAATTTGGCATTTTGTTATAGCAGCATAAATGGATTAAGACAAAATATCTGACCAGTGCATCCCAAAATTGGCAAGTCATGAAAAAACAAGGAAAGTCTGAGAAATTGTCACAAACAAGCGAAGGTAACATGACAACTACCCACTATGTAATATTGTGGGTGGGATCCCCAGTAGAGAAAGGGACAAAAAGAAGTTGAAATCTGAAAACAATGTGGATTTATTATGTCAAATATTAGTTCATTAGTTGGGACAAATATACTTTGATAAACTGCTCATTAATAGCAAATGGGTATGGTATAAATTGGAGCTCTATACTATCTGGAAGTATCAAACTGTTCTAAAACTAAACACTTTTTTTTTTTTTGTCTTTTTCGTTTTTATCAGTACCAGGGATCAAACTCACGAAACACTTATTTTTAAAAATGAAAAAATACAAGACAAAGTAACTTGAAAATTTTTGGAATGTACAACAAAATTCTACTAAATTTACTATTCCCTAACTCTAAAGGCATTCTTTTATGTAACAACATTACAAAATCAAGTTCCAACCTTAAGTTTTACATACAATTGGGCTTTCTCAATTCAGCCCAAAGATATGATTCTCAGTCAAAATTTTTCCCATGCTTTGTTTTCTTTCCCATGAACAACAGACTGAAAGAATTTAACTGGTTAGTAAATTCAGCTTAAAATTGTACACCTCTCACATGCACAAACAAAAACCTTTCAACTGCACATTTGGAAAGTAATTTGAAACTAGAAGACTACACTATCAAATGCCTTCAAAAACAATACATTTCTCTTCCTAAAAATCATTGTTTAGGATTAAGGGAAAAATCTTGGAGAGTTCTTATTCTGTAAGATTTAACCTGGCCAAATGTGGTACTGCACAACTATAATCACTGTACACCTGTAATCCCAGCACTCAGAAGGTAGAGGCAGGAAGATCACCCCATTTAGTTCAAGGGCCAGCCTGGGATTCAAAAATGAGTTCAAGGCCAGCTTGCACTACAAAGTGACATACCTTGTCTCAAAAAAAATAATAAATAAATGAGACAGAGAAACATGAGACAGAGTGACAGAAAGAGTTAAGCATTAACCTGACAGGAGGCAGAGCTTAGTTTTAGAGCAAGCATGCTGGGTTCATATCCCAGCACCAAAGGAAAAAGGTTAGGCTAACTAAATCAGTATTATCTACCAAGTAACTTTTGTGTTATACAAGCAGGAAGGAAGGAAGGAAGGAAGGAAGGAAGGAAGGAAGGAAGGAGAGAAAGAGAGAAAGAGAGAAAGAAAAAAAGAGAAAGAGAGAAAGAGAGAAAGAGAGAAAGAAAAGAAAGAAAGAAAGAAAGAAAAAAGAGTCTTTATCTGGAAGTTTTACTAGATTCAGTAATTCTCTACCACTTTTCCTTTAACTAGCACATCTTCCAGGAACAATGTTTCCCAACATTCCTTTCTGCAGTGAAACTACAAACATTACTCTCAATGTTCCAATATACTAACGTTTGCAACTGGACAAATCATACGACATACCAAGAAATAACCTAATATCCTGTCACATCCCTTATACCAAAAAACATTCTTCACATGCTTATAAGCACAAAATCAGCAATGTTGGAGGTCCATCTTCAATTAGGTCTTACTAGTAGGAAAAAAAAAAAACCTTACTAAATGAAACAAGTACAATTACATATTTTGTTAGAACAAAGTCTTTCCTGTTTTAAGGGAAGAGCGATCTACTCTCTCCTAGAGTGTACATAAGGTTATTTTCTAAAATCCACTCGTATTCTATGTATTTTTCAAAGTTCTTTAACCAAGTCTATTGACCAAAATTTGGAAAATTAATTACTTTAATCTAACATCCTTTACACTAACAAAACCACAGCAGGAACACTAAAATGACCTATTAAATGGCCAACTTCCAATCTTTAATTTGATTTTAAATCTTTATTATATAGTAGACATAAGCATAAGTGATATGCTTGTAACATAGATCAGGCACACATTGTTAAACCCAGCATGAATGCAACACATTTTTCATGATAATCTCTGATTATCCTATTTTTTTATCCTATTTTTCTTTATCCTGTTTTTTTCTGAATTGGGTAAAGGAAGCAGTTAAGGCTGGAAAAAACTATCTACACTTTTTTTTAAAGGCCCCATTTCAATGGGTAAAGAAATGGTTGATTTCAGCCAGGCATGGACACCTGTATTCCTAGCACTCAGAAGGCTGAGGCAGGAGGACTGGTGAAACTGTGGCCAGCCTGAGTTACAAATTTAGTTCAAGTCCAAACTAAACTGCATGGTGAGATCCTGTCTCAAAAATACAAAAAAAAAAAAAAAAAAAAAAAAAAAGCTGATTTCAAGATTAATATTCTAGAAAGTAAAATTAAAACCCAGAATTATGACTCTTCTGGTTGAATATTTAGAATGTGTTTCAGACAAATGACTAATTTAGATCAGCCCTTCATTTTTATTAATTTCTGCAAAAGGTCAACTAGATAAACTGTAATGTTGAATAATTTGTGGGTTTAATTAAGTTTATTTCTTAAAGGCACTGGTTGTGGAGTATAAACTTCTCAGGACATTATGGGGTCAGGAAAATAGTTTACTACTACCACTCTAACCTAGAAAAGTATTTCTCCCTATGATTTACATGATGTAAATTTCTTCCTTGTAACTGCTAGACTAAATTCTCATCTTCCTTAATGATGACTATACTTTTTCCAAAAGTATTGCTGATATGCAGGCTTTAAATGCTTTGAAGAACTAGCCTACTTAAATTTACTTATTTTTATTAAAACAACACAGTAATTAGGTCTTAATATTTTGGGTTACAAATATGACAGATAGAAACATTTGGATAAGATGAGATTTCCATTTTAAGTAAAATGCTTTTATCAGCCAACTTAATTGTAAGCTCGGTATATTCCATGCACAATCTGCTCTCACCTATGACATTTTAAGAAGGATTCCCCATCCTCAGATCAAAGGTATAGAAGTTACCACTTGGAAGTGTAATGTCTCCTACCACAGAAACTGCCACCCTAAAACTTAACAGGGTTGCAGAAAAGAATCAACACACAAAGCAAATAATACAGTTTACACCCTCTGCCAGTTTGCCCTGCAGAAATCAAGTCTACTTCAACTTAGAAAAGGCGGGGGGGGGGGGGGGGAGGATGTTTGCCAATATAAGAAATTACTTAAAAAAAGTCCCTATGAAGATTCCAAACAGAAGGGATGAAGGAAACAAATCATTAACACACCAAATGTAAACCAGTATTTAGGTCTCGGAGACTACAGTGATTCAGCCTATTAGCACGCAAAAAAAGTGTTGGGGAAGCACATAAATGCCTGCAAGAGGACAGTAATTTTACACAAATCATTCTGTATACCATAATTTTAAATTTCAAAGCCTCAAAAAAAGCCCTAATTTTGCGAGTTTATAGTGATAAATTTCTACTGCAATTTTCTCTTCTATAAAGTCTTTAAACTTGCCTATTCTAACCATTAGATTACAGTTCACAATAGGGACCGGGTCTATCTTGTGATTGTAAAAGGGTTTTAATCAATAAACTTCACTCCATAAAATGTCAAACTATTTTATTTCAGATTATTTCCATCCCAAATAAACTTACTTTTAGCTTATTTAAATGTTATCAACACATCTTCGGCACTAGCAGCTTACCAGTAATAGTATCAACTGTACGTAATGATACAAACTGATCTTTTGATAGAATAAAATTTGAGGGGCTGGAAGTTTAGCTCAGCGGCATAAGCGCCTGCCTTGCAAGCAGGCAGTCGTTGAGTTCGATCCCCGGTACCGATAAAAAGGAGAAAGACAAAAAAAAAAAAAAAAATTGAAGACTAACGTTCTCCAAACACAAAACTATAACACATGATACAATATAAAACTACTACGCGGCTCAAACCCAAAACTTCTGTCAGAAGATGAAAGTAAGAATTCCAGAAGTTTAGAAAACTTAAATATTGGGTTAAATTTTTTAAAAACCCTAAGTAAGACAGTTTTTAAAGACCTAAGATATGCATAAAACATCTGTATCCCCATGTCAGTGTAAAAATGCCTCTTAAACAGATCAGAACACGCAAGCTTTTCCTGCAGGTGCCCAAGGCTAAAGTACATGGAAACAGAAACAGCAGGCAACAGTGCTGTGGCGAAAGAAACAAACAAAAAAGATTAATCAGGATGTCAAAAAGACCTTGCTTTTAAGTTTCCTGACTCACCAACTCTCACAGTGACCTTGGGTAAAAAAACCTCTCTCTAGTCCTTCATCTAGAGAGATCTAAAGTCCATTCGTAACATTTAACTCTATTCCAACTTCCCGTGATTAGGAATAGGCTTTCAGACTGTCCCTATCAATACCAGAGGAGAAAAATAAACCAACACGAAGGAACAGGTTAACTGGGTCAGAGATCCAGAAGTGCACACAAAGTGGCTGAGCGAGACCAAGTGGCCCCTGACCCTGTAAAGCACCACGCCGGCCCACTGGGAGCAGAGGTGCCTCGGGGCGAGGGGGGGGGATTGGCCCGCCAGGCACCGGGCCCCGGAGGGAGGTGGAGTCGAGGTTCTCGCGTGCATTGTCCCCGGGAGGGAGCCATGTTTCCTCCTCCCCGGCACTCCCAGAAAGCGACTGGGTGCTTGAATTCTAAGACCAAAACACGCTGGTCCAGAGGGTCTGTGGGGGCCAGGCGAGAGAAAGGAGTTCCCAACAGGGCAAGCGTGGCTCCAGGCCGCGTCCCCGCGGCGCAGCAGAAGGCAGCGGGCGGAAGGAAGGCCTCGGGGACCGCTCCTATCCGCACCTCCCACCAGCAGTTTGCTTGAGTGAAAAGGGAAACCGCGCCCAACCCCGGCTAGGCCTGTGGCGGGCAGGCCGCACCGCCCTCCGCTCGGGCCGCAGCTCGGGCGCCAGGCAGAAGGCCAGGGCCCTCGACCTCTGAGACCTCAGGCGCCCCACTCCAGGGCGCCGCCATCCCTACTCACCGTTGGCGCGTTTGAGGGCATTTTCCGGCCTCTGGAAGTAGGCCGGCATCTTGGCAGCAGGCTCAGTTCACCCAGCGTCAGCTAACTCCCTACTGGCCCGAGCCGGGAGAATGGACGAAGGGGAACCAGCGCGAGGTTCCACGCGCTTCGCCAGCAGTCACCCGCGCCCAGCCGGCCAGCGACGGAAAGGAAAGAGCCACGTGACCTCAGCGCGGCGGCACCGCCGCCACCGCCGTCCAGGCCCCGGATGTAGGGGCGGGCTTGTGCGCTAGGTCCGCCCCCAGGGCACGCAGGCGCGATGGCGTCACGGGCGCCGGCTGACGTGGCGGTGGCGGCGGCGGCGTCTGGGAGCGCTGAGGGCGGAACCATGCTTGGTGCTGTCTTGAGGCTCCAGAGAGAAGCTAGGACCGAGCTTCTTAGACCTTCACTCCTTCACCAGTAACCAGAGTGGGAAACTTGAGTTTAGAATCGAAGCTAGTACTAGTACAAAGGGCTAGTCTCGGGCCAGGGATTTAGCTCAGCGGCTCAAGCGCTTGCTTGGTAAGTGCGAGGTTGTGAGTTCGATCCCCGGTGCCCCCCCAAAAAAAGAGATGTGAAAAGGCTAGTCTCTGCACATAGTCAGTTTCAACAGGATTTGTACCAAGACATGCCATGTGCAATAAAATCGCGTCCAGAGACGGAATGGCCTGTATTGTCTATGTGAAATGGTGGATTGTTTAACAGAAACATACTGAGCAAGTACAGTTAGGCCAGTACCGTTCACCACTGGGAAATACTGGTGACCTGCCCTGAAAACAGAAGCTCTCAGCGAATGAGCTGGGCTTGGTGGTGAATACCTGTAATCTTAGCATTTGGGAGGCTGAGGCAGGAGGATCGCCACGGGTTTGAGGCCAGCCTGGGCTATAATAGTAAGTTCTAGGCCATCCTGAACCACGTAGCAAGATCTTGTCTCAAAACCAAAAAAAAAGAAAAGAAAAGAAAGCAAATGAGACCAGAGCAAGCTGGCCTAGGACAAAAGCTCTGGAGCGGAAAGCATAACCTTTACATACAGCACATGTCACAAACAAGCTGGGAAAAATTTATTATAGACCGCGTTTAACAATTTTAATGATCACAGATTGATAACTGTACCTAAAACTTGAAAGCAATTTAAGCTGAATGAATTCTCCAACTCGTGATATGAAATTAAAATGCAGAAAGAAATTTAGGAAACAGGGGCTTGGGGATTTAGCTCAGCAGCAGTCGTGAGTTCGATCCCTGGTACCAGTAAAAAGGAAAAAAGACCAAAAAAAAAAGAAGAAAGAAATTTAGGAAACAGCAGTGAACAATAGATTCTAGCAAGTTCATTATACATTCTGCAATAATAGATGAGACATGAAGTAATGAAGGATACTATCTCAATAAATGAAAAAAAACAAGATGCACCTTAAAACCGTCAGCCCCTCATTCCTTCTTCCTCCACAATGGAATTTTTCCATTTAATTAAGTATATCGCTGTAAAGAAAAATTAGAAAATAGAGAAATGTACATTCTTTAAAAAATCTCTTTTAAGGTTAAGGATTTAGCTTAGCAGCACAAAAGCCTGCCTGGAAAGCGTGGGGTGAGTTCAATCCCCGGTACCAAAAAGAAAACAGAGTTAAAAGTCTCTTTTAAAATTAGATGATTCTTTCTCCACCGTGCTTATACTATTCATTATGCATGTACTTGCTTTCTCCAAAATAAGAGCTAGTCAGGGTTAATGTGAAAGCAACAAGAAGTACTAAGCAATAGAAACTGTTTTATGAGCAAGATCAAGGGACCTGTTTGTGCATGTTATAATTATATCAAAATTAAAGAGCCAAATATAAGAACAAATAGCTCTTTAATGTGCTATACATAAAAAAAAATTTTTTTTTTGTCTTTTTCCTTTTTATCAGTACCAGGGATTGAACTCACAACTGCCTGCTTGCAAGGCAGGCTCTTATGCCGCTGAGCTAAATCCCCAGCCCTTGATAAAAATATTTTTTAAAAACTAGTAGACCATAGAAAATGTAGATAGAATGAAGTAAAAAGAAAACTGGGCCAGGCATGGTGGCTCACATCTCCCAACACTCGGGAAGCTGAGGCAGGAGTATCATTGCGTTCAAGACCAGCCTGGGCTACAAAGTGAGCTCAACTGCATAGGGAGAGCCTGAATTGCATAGGGAGATCCTGTCTCAAAAAGACGAAAAAAGAAAACTGGCCTAAACTTGAAAAGGCTTACTGGCATTCTATATAGAGAACCATTCCCAGTGGTTATTATGTTCCAGGAAGTTTATATTTGTAATCCCAAGGAAAAGTTATTAGAAATAAAATAAAATAAGAAAAAAAAAAGAAAGAAAAAAATAAAAATAAAAAAATAAAAGTTATTAGGACTCCAATAAAGTAATTCCAATCTACCATCTCCAGTGCAATGCTCTGTGAGAATAAAGACACTAAGACACATTTATATGGTCAGGATGAAGATCCTTTGGAACAAAGGCCTTGACCCAATGCCCAACCCAGATTTTATTAATGCACCAAGGAAATGGTTTGAGGACTAGTGACTGTTGACAATGGTGGGAAATACTTGAGTATGGTGAGCTAGGCTATGTAGGAGACCTGAAATCACCTCTGCAATATGCAGAGACGAATATGTAGAAAGACTAATTTGCATGATACAATTGTAATATCTAATGCTTTGGGGCTGATGCTTCAGCCCTGATGTGTAAACTTTTCTGCCCTGGAAGGTCATTGCCTCTTGTCTCAAGGCTGGATCCCAGTTGACAGTGTGGAGTAGAGGCTCTTTATTACCCAGCTCAACCATGTTTGTTGGAAGTCACAGGGCAGGAAACAGTGACTGTCATCTAGCTTCAAAGATTATGCATCAAAACTCAGCAAGTCCTATTTATATTCCTTAAAGATAATTCGAGGGATAAAGAAATGGCCTAGCCAGCTCTGTGCACATCAGTACATGAAGATAGGGCCAGGTTTAGTCAAAATGGAGATAATTGTTCTTTATTCAAGGAGAGTTGTCCAGGTGATCCTATACATTCTTTACTTTCCATTGTCATATCTCAAAATTATACATTATTTGGTAGACCTACAATCAGACAAGCACTAGAAAATGGAGAAATAGGGCTGGGGATTTAGCTCAACAGTGCAAGCACTTCCCTGGCAAGTATGAGGTCATGAGTTCACTCCCCAGTACAAAAAAAGAAAAAAAGTGGAGAAGTAAAATTAAATTAAATGTTCCTATATATTGATTCTTTTCCCACTGTGTTTTAAAGAAATGAACACAGTGATGGTTAAAAATCCATTGAATAAAAGTACTTTCTTTCTTTCTTTCTTTCTTTTTTTTTTTTTTTTTTTGTCTTTTTTGTTTTTGTTGGTACCAGGGGTTAAACTCACTACTGCCTGCTTGCAAGGCAGGCGCTTATGCCGCTGAGCTAAATCCCCAGCCCTAAAAGTGCTTTCTTTAGACCTAAATGGCAAAAGCAATTCTGAATTCTGGACAACAAAGGCAAAGTGGAAGGCATCACAACTCTGACTTGAAATTATACTACTGAGCTACTGTGATAAAAAGCAGCATGGTACTGGCAATAAAAGAGACCCAAGGATTGGGGCTGGGGATTTAGCTCAGCGGCATAAGCACCTGCCTTGCAAGCAGGCAGTCGTGAGTTCGATCCCTGGTACCGATAAAAATGAAAAAGACAAAAAAAAAAAAAAAAAAAGAGAGACCCAAGGATCAATAGAGCATATTAGAAGATGCAGAAATAACTCCAGACATACTTAGCCACCTTATCTTTGACAAAGGAGCCAAACACCTTCACTGGAAGAAAGACAGCCTCTTTAATAAGTGGTGTGGGAAAACTGCTTTCCGCATGTCAAAGATTAAAATTAGACCTATATCTTTCACCATGCACTAAACTAACATAAAAATGGATCAAAGATCTAAATATTAAAAGAGACTCTAAACCTGTATAACTCTTGAAGATGTTGGTGTAGGCAAAGACTTTATGAACAAAACACCAACCTCACAGGAACTATCACAAAGAATCAACAACCAGGAGCTCACCTTAAAAAGCTTTTTCACAGCAACAGAATGAAAAGACAATCCACAATGTGGGGAAAAATTTTTACCAGCTCTTCCTCAGACAAAGCACTAATATCTAGAAAAGACATTTCTCAGAAAAAGATGTAGGAACAACAAATAAATACATGAAAAAATGTTCAACATAACTGGTCATTCAAGAGATATAAGTGAAAACAGTGCTGAGATTCCATCTCAATTCAGAAAAAATGGATTTTATCAAGAAGTCAACCAATGACACATGCTGGGTGCTGTGGTGTTTCGGGAACCCTTCTCCATTGTTGGTGGGAATGTAGATTGGATGGAAATCAGTGTGGAGATTCCTCAAAAAATAAAACTAGCACTTCCATTTGACCCAGCTATTCCCCTTCTTGGTATCTTCCCAAAAGAATTAAAAGCACATACCACAGCATATATACACGCCTATGTTTGTAGCAAAGCAGTTTGTCATAGCTGAATCTTGGAAACAGCTCAAATGTCCATTTACCAATAATTGTGAATAATGAAGATGTGGATTATTTATTGGTGTAGTATTCTGCTATAAAGAAGGAAAAATGTGAGGCATTTCTAATTAAACAAATGTATCCTGAGATCATACTCTTAAGTGAAATAAATCACAGATGTGTAAACACTGCATAACTATGGCGTGAAAATTCTCTGGCATGAGAAACTGAAAATGTGAACAAAGACCAAAACATGTAATAGATATTGGGAAATGGTAAGAAAATGTTCAAATGAGAATGAGAACAAGGGAGGAAATGTATGTACCATTGTTGCCCCCCCCCAAAAAAAGAGATAAACAAGGGAGAGGGAAGAAGAGATTTAAATAAGTAGAAAGTGGGCTGAGTATTTAGCTCAGTAACTCAAATGCTTGCTTGGTAAACACAAGGTCGTGAGTTTGACCCCCGGCATCCCCCCTAAATAAATAAATAAATAAATGAAAAGTAGAAAGTAAAAAACGGAAACAAAGCATTTATAAACAAAAGGAAGAGGGGTTGAAGCAAGGAATGAGAAAAAAGAAGATACATCATGTACAGGTACAGATTTCATAGGATGAATGTTATCACTACGTATAACTAAAATGTACCAATAAAATTTAAAAAGTGCTGTCTTTAGAGTCTGAGGCC